TACTAAATATATTGTCTCTTTTAATCCTGGTGTGCTTGTTTTTACTCAGTGCGCCAACAAGGTTATGGGCCCAGCACGCTTCCACTGCGCCAACAGTAAGACTAACTTAATTGATACAATATATGTTGGAAATTGCTGATCGTGCTGTATACGCGACTGTACTTTCTGAATTATATTTTGTATGGACATACATTCTAATGTATTCTCAAATGATTCTCACTTTTAATCGAGGAAGGGTTAAAATATTCTTCTTACACTTTTCTTTTAACACGGCACCGTAGATAAAAATCGATAAGTAACAAATCTGAAGACCACGATCAGTCAAAACCAAAGATAATAACACACTGACAATAAGACAACGAATAAAATTGCGATACATGCTCGGGAGGTTTTGTCAACACGAGTGTACAGAAGTGCAGAGAACACAATAAAAGTAAAATGTACACATACTCGGTGAATATTCAAAATCAATTTTTTCGACAAGAAAGCCTCGAACGAACAAATTTTATTCTTCGATTTTGATTTGTTTTTTTCATATAGAATAACCCCATTCTTGGTTTGTACCACCGATTCTGGGACACCCTGTATATCAGAGATAGGTGTATCGAGAACTTATTGTAAAAAAATAAGTAACAGTCCTGGTATCTAACTAAATGTTTCGTTTCAAACAGCAAAAAGCAAAAATTAATGAGCTAAGTGGGTAACGGTTTAACTGGTATTTTTTGACCGACCGCGTCGCGTTTGGAATTGGACCAAATGCACTCGAGTTTCGGCGTGGCCGCTATTGAAATCACTGTTTTAAACATTGTTCGCGGAGTGGATCGTTCTGTCGTCGGTAAACGCGATCCTAACGTTCGCAAGGTCACGTTCAAACCGTAACATTGTCGGGCCAGTGTTTCCGTATCATCGTGATTAATGGACCCATGCGACCCTGAACGAGTATCGTCGATTCGTAGCGACGTGGAAAGTGTTTCCCTTGGCAGCAACCATCCCTTTCCACGGCGAAATTAACGACAGTCGTTCGAGCGAGCGTAACAGTATCTTGATTGCCAAGTCTCCTATAAATCTACGGTAGACCACCGTTCCCGATGATCGATCTCGATCGAAACTATTTTAAAGCGCTTCCCGGATGGCGTGCATCGTTCGTCGATCGTTTGACGCAAGTACTCACGTCTTCCCTGTACTATTATTTGGAAACGTATTGTCGTAACTATTATTGTCGTATCTGTTAATTCTGTAAAATGTTTGTTCCCTATATATTTACACGTACAAGCGTTTCTATAGGTATTTTCAAATATTCTTTTATTTCAAGTATGTTAGGAAGCGAAATGTTTTCTCGTCTCCTGTAACGACTATAGGAGTATTATTACATGTAATTTGTTCTTTTATAAACTGTTCTGCCATTAACACGTTCACTGCCAGATGAAAACTGTACAATATTCCGCAGGATTAAAATTTTGATTTCATACCATTGTAAGCTACATAACCTAAAATGGTTCACTTATTTTCGTAACTTTATTAAAAGTCACAAATTCAATTCAAATTCTAGTATAATAATGGTAAATCCTGTCCCCCATATATAGGGGTCGTGGCAGTGGAAGTGTTAATATACCTCATCGTTTTAACTCTGAAAAAGTAACAACGTTAAAACCACGGTGTCGATTAACGCTTGCTCGTCTGTTAGCAGGCTTTGGTTCAACATGAACGAATGGACGACGAGGAAGAGCACGTATGCCCCGACGACGTGAACCAGGATCCGAATCGGTGTACCAAGATCGTCCTGAATCGCGCGGTATTGGATCGTAGCAGTGGTTTCGATGCAAAAGCGATATTTATAGCGTGGGCAACCGCCGCTACGCGGACTTTCCGGCATCGCGGCGGGCCAACAAAAATACATATTCACACTTCGTACGTCCCGCGAATAAAAGCGTCTTCGGGCTTTCCGCGGAACTGCGCCATTCACTAGAATCACCTTCGATTATTGTACTTTCCCCCCCAATTGCAAGACACAAGCGTCAGAAATGTAAACGATTGGCCATACGTTTCCCCGGCGATCGTCGTTCGTGCGATAATGGAACATTCCGAATATCACTTTGTTACCTGCATCGTCGCTTTAATACTTTGACTGCCACGTCAGCCATATTATGATACTAGAAAAATTAATTCTCAAGTCAAGACGTCGAGGGAAATAAATTTGAACGAAAATAAGTACCGAGACAAATTTTAGGTTATGTAGCTTACAATGGTCTGCTTGCGCAGAATATTATACGGTTTTGATCTGGCAGTGAACGTGTTAAAGACAATAATTTTATGAGAAATATGTCGGCGAATCTGCAGAAACAATTATTTTATATTTAACTTCGAACGGAAAGGGTCACCCGAGCATCGATCTACGAGAAATTATAATAACCGTCGTCCTCGTTATTCGCTTATAAAAAGTGAAACAATATTGTTCACAATCTTCTGGAAACTCGATCGCTAATGTAATTATACTCTGACGAAGAGTGTCATTTCCAGGAGTCGTTCGAGAACGTTAAACGATCATAAAAAACAGACTCGTCCGGATAGAGGGACAGGGTAATCTGTTCAAGCGACAACCGTGAAAACGGATGGATTTAACAGCCGGCACGAAAGCCAGAGTTGAATGAACAAATAGTCCCGTCGTTCTGACAAAGAGATAAACTCGTGATTTAACGACCGGTGCGTTACAGCTCGTAGCTAAGCGGGACTTACGTAAGAGAGGGTCGGAAATTATTCGGGGTACGCGATTCCACAGCGATTTCAACTACGTTGCGTCGATTCCTGTCGAAAGTGAGCGCGAATTCGTGGGATTACCCGCTAACAGCGGATATTATATTCGACGGATACTCGACCGTGAGTTATCGAGTTTCAAAGTGGCCGGGTAATTTCGAGACCGGCGTTCGACTTGCCAAACAGCCTTTGCTCTTTGAAAATTAATAATTCGTTGTTGCACCGAATCGCGGGGTTTTGCGTTGATAGTTTTAGTGGAAACTGTGGTATCGTTGCGTTATGCTCCGAACAAACATGGCTGCCTCCGAAAGATATGTAATCGGGATCTCCTTTGATCTCCGGGTGACTCCGGCTGCACGACGGTGTAATTGTTTCGAGATGTTTAGGAATCGTTCCCGCGATTTTTGATATACGGACCCGCGGCGTGCAGGGACGTATCGTCTTTCGTTGACCGAGTTACGGGAAATTGATAGAACAAACAATCGCTGGCCCCCACAGATAGGCCAGAATTAACGGCGAGCGAACCGTGTCGTATCGGTCGAAATAGCAGTCCTGCTCTATACTTAGCGAGTGGTTTTGGCTTTCGCCCGCACAATTTCGTTAGAAGTTGTCGATTCCCCTTAGACTATTCGGGGCATTCGAATTTTGCCTTTCTGTTGGAATCCGGCTGGTCAAGTAATGCTCCTTTTGCATTATGAGAGTTTATTCATTTACGTTGAACCTACGTCGAACTCGACTATGAAGAATAACGGAAATTGCAATGGAACTTGACTCTTGGACAAGGTCTTGGACAAACTTCACTTTCGATAGTAAAGAAAAACGATGCAAAGAAATATTGCTTGTATTCAGGAGAGTCGTAGACTAATGTGGAGGTGTAAATGTCCTGTTTGAAATAAGTACTTTTAAGAACTTGTAAAATATAGAGGATAGGGTTCCCAAGACAGACAAGTTGAATAGCTTATTTGCTTTTGATAGTAAAGAAAAACGATGCAAAGAAATATTGATTGTATTCAGGGGAGTCGTAGACTAATGTGGAAGTGTAAATGTCCTGTTTGAGATCCATTGAAACATTTTTGTTTATCGTCGGAATAAATGAGTTATCCAGCTGGCTCGTACTGAGCGCCTCACCCTATACACTTCGCGTGATTTCCTCCGTCGTTTGGTAACACGAGATGTTATATTTACGGATCAACGAACTCCCCAGGAAGTTCGAAGTAACTAGGCCGCGTTTACAAATTCAATTTCAGGAAGCGAATTCTCCTTTCGTTTCCGAGAATCGAATCTGTAATAGAGTACAACGGACGATTGATGCTGTCTGAAATCCCATCGGCGGGGCTGCGCGTATTTTCGAAACGATTCCGAGTTTCGACGTCTTCGTCCGTTATATTAAACTAAGTAATACGCAAGTATTTTAAAAACGATAAGAACCGACAATTTTTATGCGAGACGAGCGATAAAATCATACATAACCCCAAGCATTTGTCGTATCAAACAATTACCCTGGGAGGAAATTTTAACGGGAGATTCTGGAGGCCAAAATAAGACGAAAATCAAGAATACTAATTTGTTAATGGAGGCTACGTTAAAAAGTTATTAACGTTTACAGTTCCGCTCGTACTGAATTTTTTTCTCGAAAGTGGGTAGGATTTCAAGTGTGCGTCTAATGACCAAAAATGATTGCAATTGACCCCCCCAACCAAAAATAATTTTTCCAAAACGATTTGAAATTTTTGAACTTTGTCGAAAAATTTCACACATTCTCGAATTTTTTTCTCGAAAGTGGGTAGGATTTCGGCGGTATGTGTAATGATAAAAAATGATCGTAATTGCCCCCCGCAATCAAAAATAATTTTTTTAGAACGATTTGAAAAATTATTTGTCTCCGAAAAATTTCAGCACGTATCCAATTTTTTTTCTCGAAAGTGAATAGTATTTCGAGGGTATGTGTATTCACCAAAAATGATTGTAATCGACCCCCGCAACTGAAAATAATTTTTCCAGAACAATTTGAAACGTTTCAATTTCGCCGAAAAATTTGTCCACCTTCTTGAATTTTTTTCTCGAAAGTTCGTAGGATTTCGGGGGTATATGTATTCACCAAAAATGATTGTAATTGACCCCTACAACCAAAAATAATTTTTCCAGGACGATGTGAATTTTTGTATTTAATTGTTAATAACTTGATATTCTTGACTTTCGTCTTATTTTGTTTCAGACGTTGTTTAAAAATTTCTGTATTCCTGGTATACCTGCGACAAATGGACCCTTTCTTCGCGAACCTCGTCCAGATGGTCGTGGGGCAGGGTGAATTGTTCCTGCGGGGTCGAGGGTCGACTGTACTCTTCGAAGCACGGGGGTGGCACAGGACTCTTCGGCAACTCCGTTGGCACGATTTTCTTTTTCGGTCTAGAGCGGAACGAGAACGTCTTACTAACATGTCGATGGAAAATTAGATTGCTCTTGCGAGAGTCTTGTCGCGTGCTCGACAACCACTTCATCAAAACAGCGAAGGTGTAATATTTTTTAATGTCCTGTCTACGTGCAAAGTTTCACGAAACTCTGTGTATTATAATCAGATGTCTGTCGAAGCTAAGTGTCTTGAAATTTCTTTTTTCAGATGGTCACAAATTGGACCCAGCAGTCTCTACTCTTCTCTACAAGCAAGAAACGGTCTATCAACCCTTCGATGCGTTACAATAAATATCATCCTACATCCAATGACTGAAGACGTTACTTATGATTATAGACTGCGGATCTTTATGCAAATTCACATTTTTATTAATAGAATTAATGAAACGGAAGCTTCGCAGAGGGCTGTCTCAACCCCTAAATATAATAATTCGTATCTTACTTTAAATATTTCTTATATTTTTGCATATTAAATGCGTTCTGTAGTATTTGAGGATTAAAATTTCCCATAAATGCATAAACATCAGCAGTCTACTTATATGATTGTGGCGCTGCTTCGCTACGGGGTAGGAACTCGAGAGAATCGTAGGAGGACAGAAAAGGAAAGGAGGGGGCGCGTTTCGTCCGGGCCTGCCAGTGGGACTCGTCAGTAAGGCTTTCTAGCAGGCCCTGCCTTAGACTACTGGGATATTGGGAAGTCGTTCGAGGAATGTAGCAACCGAGGGGTCGGTCGAGCGCTTGTGAGAGCGCGACCCCTCTGGTGGCGAGCATGGGAGGCGACGCCACAGATAATAGCTTTGTTCTTTGATAGTATGGTTGCAATTTTTCTAATATAATTTCTCGTTGCAGGCAAAGGGTTGATCCAGCAGGCGAAAGTGGTTGTCGAGATCAAGGTGTTTCCGGCGAGCTGTCAGGCGCTGCGATTAAATGCGCGAGAAATGCAAGAAAAAAAGAAGTGGAAGAGACAGGGGGTTTAATGTGAAACGTTAATAGTCGTGTTACGTAGCGGCGGTAGCGCGAGCTATAGCGTTGCAAACTGAGCTCAATAGTAATAGAAGGTGAAATTGCTTTCTGACAGACTAGCGACCGCAGCCCTGTTGCCAATGATCGGCTTGATAATCGGAGGTGACGTGGTAATGTTGATACGAGACGCACTCGACTGGTCAGACCTTTCGATTACAAGCCTTATGGACTCAGAGGTTTGGAGGAGATTCTGGGCGTCTACGTGCCTCACGTCTCGCGCGTCGTAATCGTCGATTTTCTTGATCACGTCACCCCTCTGGAGCGCCTCGTTCTCCGACTGCGAACACAAAAATCGAATTTCCATCGTTAACGTTCCCGCGTACGCTTTGTCTTTCGACTTATCATCGAACGAACGCTTCGACTGTTCAACGACTCGATCAAATTGAGCCTAAGGGATCCTCTCGCTTAACTATCAACATTAGCGTTGGAATCCCGGGTGGTCAATGCTCCTTTTGTATTATAAGAGTCTATTCATTTACGTTGAACTCAACTATGAAGGATAACGGAATTTCCAATTGGAATTTTACTCTTCGACAAGGCGTTAACCCTTTGCACTCCTGTGTAGAGCGTGACTCGATATCAGTTCTTATGTCAGGTGCTCCTTTTCCAAGTTCAAACCAATAAAATTCAATTTAATTTTCGTGCATTCCAAAAGAAAGCATAAGGTTTGCGCAGTTTGCTCAAACAGAGAAATACCTAATGGAAGAAGAGAAATCAATTTTTTTTTTTTTGCGAAACAAGTTTCAAGAGATATCATACACTTGAATTTGTTTAAATTGCTTTATTTTACAGTTAACGTAAATTTCAAATAAAACGCTTGAAAGCGTTGGGAGCTGCTGGTAACAAAATTGAAATATAATTTGGAGTGCAAAGGGCTAACACCCGCAGACTTCTTCTGCAACTCTGAGGATAAATATGTCTTATTGTTAGCAATAGTAAGGGAGGAGGACCCTTAGACCTAGTGACCAACGAGTCTCGTGACTAACAGACAATTGCGTATCGATGTTTGGCCTATTGGTCATCCAACATTAGTATCGAGTGATTAGAGTGGCGCCTAGTAGATAATGAAAATGTTCAACACGGAAAAAAATAGTCCATTAATACAATGTATCAAAAAAATTACAAACACAGGTACATAGCAGTCAGAAAGGGGAATCTACATGCTTAAAGTGTTTTTTTTGTTTTTTAAGGGGTAAGACCACTGTAGAAACCTGAAATGAAGCGTTTCTTTGCGATCTTTTTTTTTTTTAGACCAATGTAAAAATAAGAGGATAATAATATTCAAGAATGTTATTACCTATGTTGTTAAGTATTAAGAAAAGAATATTTATTCAAGAATAGTGCAAAATTACGATGGTGAAGCCATCTGTACGCATATTTGTATCTGAGAAAAAAAACAAAATATTGTCTCTTAATCTACATGAGTATAGAAATATTAATTTTTGTGCGATTGGCGAGCATTTGAAGTAGAGTTCAAGTTCAATTTCGTACAAAAAAATGGGGCAATCGTTTGTCAATAAATAAAGTTAAAATTAACTTGTCGAAGATCCCCTAGATCTCTAGCTATACTTGTGTAGATTAAGAGAAAATCTTTTGTTTTTTTTTTCAGATACTCTGCGTGCCACAGAGCGCCTCGAATTCAAAACACGTCGTTTTGCACTATCTTTGAATAAATATTTTTTTTTTAAACATTTAAAATCATGGTTAATAACATTCTTGAATATTATTAAATTATTATCCTCTTACTTTTCCATCCATCCATCCAAAAAAAAAACAAATTGCAAAGGGATTTTACAGTGGTTTCACCCCTTAAATATTTAATGCATGAAAATGAGCGCATGCGAGCACTTTAACTTTGGGGGAAAAAAAAAAGGGAAGGTCCGATACCATGCAGCAACGTACAATTACACTTTTACGATGAAAAATATGTGTTTGGACCGCGTTCGGGCTTGTTTATGGCCTGTCCCTTCTGCCTTCGACGATCGTGCCAGAAATAATGCAGACAAGATCGAGCCACACGTGACAGGTGGACGTGCGAGCGCTATATTAAATACCGAGAATCATTTTCAAATGTTATTGTACCGTCAGCCAAAATTTCGTTGCGTCGCGAAACTTTGCGTCTCGATTACAAATGATCTGTAAGAATCTTGGACTCGAGATGGGCAAAATTCAGTATTAATTACAACACATTACTTTATTTATCATTTACCGATGTAACGAACTTTTGGCCATCTCTGTCTCAGATTTCAAGTCTAATTCGGTATACGATAAATTTTCGATTAAATGAGTTAATTAAAACTTGTTCGATATTGAACGCATCTATTTTAATATTTTTAATCGCCTCTCGCGCGCGTGACCCAAATTCGCGACCGCGAGGAGGGTGAACCTTCTCGTCAACTTTCCAAAGCGATCATAGTTTCTGTTTCTCAGTTGTTTAAAACATGATTGTATCGTATACCGACGTGGGCTCGAAACAAACCTGTCGACGAACGTTCCGTGGAAACCGTTCGAAAGCGTGAGATTTTAGCGCGCGAAAAACACCGACGTTGGGTTTAAAGCGATAAATGTTATGGTATCGGAACGAGGTTGTCCGCGGTTAGAAAATAATCTCGAATCCCCTGGTGTTCCGTTGTGGATGCTTTGCCGTTACGCGTCCAATAATAACTGCACGCTCGGGAACACGCGCGCGAATCTAGTAGTACATTACTGCAACGTATCGGACAGGCACGTTAGACCCGTGCACGTCGGGCATGATAATTGATAAGGTCGATGGCGGAACTCTGTAATAGTAATTAAGACTCACGCGGGTGACGACGATCGGCGTGCCCAAATCAGCGCCTCCGGCGATACGTATCCCCCAGGGTCTGCCGGCGCTGGATCTCTTAAGCTTCACGATCACCGTTTGTTTCCTCGTCATGCTCTACTCCGTCTGTCACAACAACGTAATCGCGTGTTTAGAGAACTGTAACGTGAACACCGACGAGTTCGCAACCCCGTGGACCGGTAGTCGGGTGTGTCGCGTGAACCTAACGACGCGAGACGTAACGCGAGATAGAGAGCAGCCGCGAAAAGACCCTGCGTGGAGCGATCAAGGGGAAGTTGAGAGCGATGGGCGACGAACCGCGATCGTCGATAGGGATCGCACGGTGGGCGTCGAGTACGACACGATATCGTTTGAGCCGCGGCTTACGCTCTTTACTGGCAAACGTGAACTACTGGGCTGCACCGCCACTCGATTTTGACAGGCTTTGCTTCTTGCAAGCTCGGTTACCCAACTAGCCGGCCCGCCGCTTCTGCTATTCTGGCCCCATTTCGAATTGGCATACCGTGTGTGTATTGTTCTGGCCCGACCTGCACTCGTTTCTCTGGCATTTGCGGCCTCCCTGACTTCGCTGACTACAAGGGGGGCCAGCGATTCTCTCGCGAGAAACCCAATATCGATGGACCGTGAACTGGGAGGGGGTCAGCGAACCGCGACACTTTGCTCAACACTGGAACTACCAAACCAGTCATGACCCATTCGTAATTTCTAATAAAACTTGTAAAAAATTTGCTTGAATGAATTTTTGAAAATTTTTGGTAATTTTCTATAAGAGAATATACAGGGACAACCCTGGGGAAAATTTTAATGCAGGATTCTAGAGGCGAAAATAAGACGAAAATCAAGAATACCAATTTGTTGATGGAGGCTTTGTTAAAAAGTTATTGACGTTTAAAGTTCCGCCAGTACTGAATTTTTTTCTCGAACATGCGCAGGATTTCGGGGGTATGTCTGTTCATCAAAAATTATTGTAATTGACCCCCGCAACCGAAAATAATTTTTCCAAAACAATTTGAGATTTTTTTTTTCCCGTCGAAAAATTTCACACCTCCAATTTTTTTCTAGAAAGTGGGAAGGATTTTGGAGATATGTCTAGTCATCAAAAATTATTGTAATTAACCCCCGCAACCGAAAATAATTTTTCAAGAACGATTTGAAAAATCAGAAACGAATTTTTAAAAAAAATCGACAGGGATATGTGCCTGAATTTTTCGATGAAATTAAAAAATTTCAAATCATTCTGAAAAAATTATTTTTAGTTGCGGGGGTCGATTACAAGTATTTTTGGTGAATAGACATACCCTTGAAATCCTATCCAGTTTCGAGAAAAAAATTCGAGTAGGTAGTGAAATTTTTGGCCGAAATAAAAAATTTCAAAACATACTAAAAAAATTATATTCAGTTACAGGGGTTAATTACAAGCATTTTTGGTGAATAGATATACCTTCAAAATCTTACGCACTTTCGAGAAAAAAATTCGAGTATGTACTGAAATTTTTGGCCGAAATAAAAAATTCCAAACCTTCCTAAAAAAATTATATTCAATTACAGGGGTCAATTTCAAGCATTTTTGGTGAGTAGACATACCCTTGAAATCCTACCCACTTTCTAGAAAAAAATTCGAGAAGATAGTGAAATTTTTGGTCGAAATAAAAAACTTCAAAACATACTAAAAAAATTATATTCAGTTGCAGGGGTGAGTTAGAAGCATTTTTGGTGAATAGACATACCCTTGAAATCTTACGCACTTTCGAGAAAAAAATTCCTTACCGAAGATTTAATTTGAGGCCACAGAAATGCTTCCCTGAAATTTCATGCGAATATTAAAAATGGCATAACTCCTGAACGGATCGGAGGATTTTAATTTTTGAAAATGCAAACAACGCGTATTTTAGTGGAGAATATGTAGAAATTCTAACAATATTGAAAAAGTTGTTTCTTGACACCGTAATGTGAAATAAACCCCCTGAAACTGGTCCAATTTTCAAACGGCCATAACTCCTACAATAGTGAACGTATCTCATTGAAATTTAGTAGGGAAGTAGAGCTCGTGTATACCTACAAAAAAGTATTAAACAACTTTTCAATACAGCGCCAACCAAATTTATTAATAATGAAAAACGAATTTTTAAGAAAAATCGAGTCGGCGAAAAAAAAATTTTTCAAATTGTTCTAAAAAAATTATTTTCGGTTGCGGGGGTCAATTACAATCATTTTTGGTGAATAGACATATCCCCGAAATCCTGCGCATTTTCGAGAAAAAAATTCAGTTTGGGCGGAACTTTAAACGTTAATAACTTTTTAACGAAGCCTCCATCGACAAATTGTTATTCTTGATTTTCGTCTTATTTTCGCCTCTAGAATCCCTCATTAAAATTTTTCTTCGGCGTATCTATCGTTTCAATTTCTTTGGTACAAATAAACGCACTATAATTGTCGGTAGTTCCAGTGTTAAATTACCATAAGTTTTTGTCACTGGGATATTCACCCTTTTGTGAATCAATGCACCTTATTATTATTCGCCATTATTAAACCCTGATTATTAATAATAAATGTAACGTAAAACGCTTATTCAATACTGGGGAGTATCAATGATCATTCAGAGGGTAAATTTGATTTGCAAAAAGGTGACTATAAGCGCTTGGTACCAGCAACCCCTTCGCGACTTTGTACTCGAATAACAGTTAACCCAATGTAAACCTACTCAGTTCCATATTTAATGCAACGACATAATTATACGTTCGTGATTTTCGACGCGTCAAACATGTACGTTAAACTGAATCGTTTAAAACAACATAGCGTGCGTAGCAAGGAGCAACTCCGTATAATATATTCGCAATATATTCTTCACAAAATATTTGCTCTATGTGTTTAACAAAAGTATGATCGCAAACAGGAGCATCGAATATAAACAATAGAACAAATAGAACAATACACATTCGTCTAGTCTAGCAAAAGCAATAAGATAGAAAGTAAACACCGGTACCCCTTAATCTACCGACATTGGCTATCATTTTGTGCTCCTTGCAACAGAGTATCTGGCACGCAACCGATCGATCGTTACCGATTATAACAGACGATTCGTTCACCTTTGTATTTATTCGAAACTTCTTCGACGCTATTTATACGAACAATCTATAAATAGTATTTTAACGAGCAATTTGAACAACTATATTTGTTTCGATCGAAATAAGCCCGCGTCAGCGTTACCAGTGTTCACCTCGCAGCCCCTACTATCCTATTCTTTGCTACACAATATCTACGGATACGTTTCAGAAGACGCCGACAGTGCGTTGACACGAGCACAGCGAGACGCTCTGAGAGGCGTACGATAGTTATTAATATTTACCATCCGCGGTACGATACTCCGGAGCAAACAATTGCGATCTAACGATAGTTTTCATCTTGCAGGAGGATGGTTTTATCTTGGAGGCAAGTAACGCTTCAACGGCCACGGAGGAACGAACCAACGAATGAGCTTGCTCGAAAATTCACGGCCCCATCATACGGTGGACGTCTTTGTCGGGACAACGAGGGAAAGGTGCGACCGTGGATCACGCAAAACTGTAATCCTCGAGCGGAGAGTTAGGGATGAGACATGGTCCAACGTCAACCGTGTATCACAGAGGGAATTTTAATTTTATGCGTTCTGTCTTCCGCGTACTCACATAGGTCTCGTAATAACTGCTTATGGAGAACTTAAGGGCCATCTTTATCTTCGCGGAAATCACACGTACTCGGTTCCTCGGTTATCCTTTTTCCCCTCCGCGGGCTTACGGTGCTTTCGCCGGAGTGACGTCCGCGAGAGCCCCGCGAGAGATCTTCTCTCCCCTTGTGGCGGCTACGATCTAATTAGTTCGACTGTACCGTGATTAATGGGACCAGATCAAGAGGGAAAGGGGAACGAGGAAAAGAGAGTGGCCACGATGAAACGAGAGGAAGAGAGTGTACGTAAGTTTGACTTAAATTAGCCGCCTATAGCGCGAAAGGTTAGTCAATCATAGTCTCGAGACTGGACCGTTCTAGTGACTCATTTATCTCAATTTACACGTATCCTAAGAAAGTGTGTACATTATCTGTCGTATTGATATGCAGATTGGCAATGACGATGACCCATTAATCGCCTATCGGATGATACAGATTGCTCGACCGGCTAAGAATGGAACCACGACGCGGAGAGAAGCTTCGGGAAAGAGAATTAAAAATAATTTGGGTCGGCCATGCGGGGTGGTTCGTCGATACGAAACGAAGGATTTTACGACGATGCTAGTGAAACGTAATATATATTTTTCCGTTGGTGAATGTTCATGAATATTCTTCGGTGATCGCTCTGCTGATTACCATTCGACGAATCTCGCTGGTACCGGCGCCGATCTCGTACAATTTAGCGTCCCTCAAAAATCTTCCAGTAGGATAGTCGTTTATGTAGCCGTTTCCACCTGAGGAAAATTGTACAGATTCAGAGAAACGTTCCGTATGAAATAGAAGAAATGCAACAATTTACCAAGCACTTGGATCGCGTCTAGGGCGGCCTTCGTCGCGCATTCGGCGCCGTAAAGTATCACAGCGGCGCAATCTTTACGGTTCACGTGCCCGGCGTCGCAGGACCTCGCTACGGAGTACAAGTAACTTCTGCAGGCGCTCAGGCTCGTGTACATGTTCGCCATCTTTTCCTAAAACATCGTTATCGTTTTGTAGATACGTCGTAGGATCGTGGTGAACAACGACGCTGTGACAACCGTTACCTGTATGAGCTGGAACTCCGCGAGACGTTTACCAAATTGTTTTCTCTCGTGGGCGTACTCGAACGTTACGTCGCAACACGCCTGAATAATTCTTAACATACGATACGTTAAAACGCGAAATGAATTTCATACAATACATGCAGGTTGTTCGGCCAACCTTGGGAAAAATTTTAACGGGAGATTCTAGAGGCTAGAATAAGACGAAAATCAAGAATACCAATTTGTTGATGGAGGCTTCGTTAAAAAGTTATTAACAATTAAATTCAAAAATTTCATATCGTTCTGAAAAAATTATTTTCGGTTGTGGGGGTCCATTACAATCATTTTTGGTCATTAGACATATACTTGAAATGCTTCCCAGTTTCGAGAAAAAAATTCGAGAAGGTATGCAATTTTTCGACAAAATTAAAAAGTCACAATCATTCTGAAAAAATTATTTTTAGCTGCGGGGGTCGATTATAAGTATTTTTGGTGAATAGACATACCCTTGAAATCCTATCCAGATTCGAGAAAAAAATTCGAGTAGGTACTGAAATTTTTAGCCGAAATAAAAAATTTCAAAACATACTAAAAAAATTATATTCAGTTACTGGGGTCAATTACAATCATTTTTGATCATTAGACATATACTTGAAATCTTACCCAGTTTCTAGAAAAAAATTCGAGTAGGTACTGAAATTTTTAGCCGAAATAAAAAATTTCAAAACATATTAAAAAAATTATATTCATTTACTGGGGTCAATTACAATCATTTTTGGTCATTAGACATACACTTGAAATCCTTCCCGGTTTCGAGAAAAAAATTCAAGAAGGTATGCAATTTTTCGACAAAATTCAAAAATTCCCAATCGTTCTGGAAAAATTATTTTCGTTTGCGGGGGTCCATTACCATCATTTTCGGTCATTACACATACCCCTGAATTCCTGCGCATTTTCGAGAAAAAAATTCAGAACAGACGGAACTTTAAGCGTTAATAACTTTTTAACAAAGCCTCCATCAACAAATTGGTATTATTGATTTTCGTCTTATTTTGGCCCCTAGAATCTCCCATTAAAATTTTTCCCAGGGTTGACCGAACACCCTGTATACCATATACCGGGTAATTTTGAAAGATTCTTACCCCAGTGGAGCACCCGCCAGTATCAATCGTTCCAAGTCTAGACCGCTGAAAAGAACGTATACACCTTTGTCCACTTCTCCGAGCACGTTTTCAGCTGCAACCGACGATAACAATTTTTTAGTTGAGCAAAGTCGCTACAACATATTGCCAGTTACTTGTTTGTTACTTTCGAAATAAGGAAACATCATTGTTAGTTCGAAATTGATTACCAGGTACTTTACAGTCTTCGAAGACAAGCTCGGAGGTGTTGGAACCACGCATTCCCAGTTTATCTAACTTCTGCCCCGTGCTGAACCCCTCGAATTCTCGCTCGACGATAAACGCTGTAATGCCGTGCTGTGGTTTCTCCGCGTTTGGATTCGTCTTCGCATAAACGACGAGGGTGTCGGCGTCGGGACCGTTCGTGATCCAAAATTTGTTACCGTTTAAAACATAGTGATCGCCTTTCTTCTCGGCTCTCAGTTTCATGGAAACTACGTCGGAGCCAGATCCTGTTTCTGACATTGCCAGTGCCCCCATATGTTCCCCGCTACAAAGCTGCATTAAAATTTACCGTTTTTCTTTACGAGTACACTTTCAAAAAACAGTATTTCTTAAATTGTAAAAGAAAAATTTTAATGGGAGATTCTAGAGGCCAAAATGAGTCGAAAATTAAGAATAGTAATTTGTTGATTGAAGCTTCGTTAAAAAGATATCAACGTTTAAAGTTCCGCCTGTGGAACGGCAATCTGCGAGCAGCTGCGCACGCGCGATAGTGGTTCACGCTCAGAAAACTGCAAGGCTGTCGATACGTCAATCAGTAGAGTTTCTCACACTGAGTGAGAACCACTATCGCGTGCAAGCAGCTGTTCGCAGATTGCCGTTCCACAGGCGGAACTTTAAACGTTAATATCTTTTTAACGAAGCTTCAATCAACAAATTGGTATTCTTGATTTTCGTCTCATTTTGGTCTCTAGTATCTCCCATTAAAATTATTCCCAGAGGTGGCCAAACACCCTGCACAGTGTAATAGAAATTACGATTAAAAATCACTTATGTTTATTACATCGCGCCCTTTACCTTCGGCAGATACTTCATTTTCTGTTCCTCTGTGCCGTTTCTGTGAATTTGATTTACGCACAAGTTTGAATGCGCGCCATAATTAATTCCTATAGACGCCGACGCTCTGCTCAATTCTTCTATAATAATAACATGATCCAAGTACGTGCCACCGGTTCCACCATATTCTGGCTTCACCGTTATACCCAGCAGACCTAATTTGCCCAGTTCTTTCCAGAATATCTGAAAACGGATTTTACAATTTCACATTTTTAACGTTCGAAACGATATTTCGTTGATTACTTCGATACCCACTCTGAGATCGTCGAAATTGTTTTTCCTGTCGATCTCGTCAGCTTTTGGGGCAAGCTCTTTTTGCGCGAAATTAAAAACCAATGATCGCAGCTATAAAGAAAACGTCGTTTCATTAATTTCGTTGTTTTACGCCCGAATATATGTATGATTGAAATCAAATTTCAATTTGAAAAATACTGATCAACGATCGATCGTTTTACTACTAGAGTAACATATGTGTGTGTGTAATCGTTGAACTTGACCTTTTTACATGACTGGCTATACATATGTACATGCAATTCTGTTACGATCCTACTAACCTGTTTCTGATCATCATTCAATCCAAATATATTTTCATCTATCTTGTAATATTGCGAGGAACATCTCACACTGAACTTATTATTAAACTTTGAGAAATTCCGAAGAAGTGATCTCGTATATTTGCATATGGGACCCTTCATATTTGTTAAGCTTCGATATACTGAATGATCTCCGGAACCGTATATATATACGAAGTCACGCATGATTAAACGGTAAACATGATAAGGAAACATAGTGTAACCGTGTATACTATACGAACGAATCATTTTATAAATGTATTCTATCGTGCAGCCTCATTGACTTTTCGTTAATATGAATAAATTAATACACTCTTTGTGTCTCATATATATGGATACGTATTCTGATTAAGTTATTTTTAATTATCTAATACGGATGCTTAAGGAATTAAAAACGAGAAACGTTCTAGAGTAATTTAAACATATGCATGCGTTTCAGCTGCAGTTTATGCAACAGCATATGATTCTTTGGTAAACAAAAATAAAAATCCATCGGAAGTTTCGAATGATATTTTTATTCGTTATAAAAGAATTTTCATTTAAGTACATCTAACGTGTGTACATGATGCATTTGTAAAATATTTAATACCGAAAGTAACCTTATTGCCTTACGAAACCAACGGAACGTGTAAGCTAATAAGATTTATTGCGTGTTCGTTGTTTTCTGTATGCGCAATAAACAAATAACGATTCTATTTTTAAACCTTATCGTTGTGTACGTCCTAAAATATCATCCATCATTTTCTTTCTTTACGTTTTTGATTTATCAACGACTTACGCGTGGTTCTCACCAGCGTTTCGCGTTTGTGAGGTTAGGTTAGGATGTTGATGCACGATTGCCGGGTGATAAGGTTAAGGAGAAACGAATAACTTTTCAATCAACTTTATTAGATTTTTTATATCACAATTTTGTATCTATAACGTGTGTAAAAATGGGTGAAATGAAAATGAATGCCTACGATGGCATCAAGACGGAGCAAAAATATAACAAAGTAGTAAAACATATACAGGTTAGAATGATTATGTTTCTTTGTACATTTACACCTTTATTTTAAGATAGCCGATAACGAATTCGTTTGTTTGTAGGATAAATGGAAACTTGTGCCTGCTTTTCTTAAGGGCAAAGGTCTCGTGAAACAACACATTGATTCGTTTAATTACTTCATAAACGTAGAAATAAAAAAGATCGTGAAGGCGAACGAGAAAGTACTTAGCGACGCGGACCCTTTGTTTTATCTAAAGTATGCATCGGGTTTCTCTGTGATATATTTCTGTTATTTATTTCTGTAATGCGTTTTGTACCGCAGATATTTAAACGTACACGTCGGCTTGCCAGATGTCGAGGAAGGTTTCAATGTAACTCGGTCCACTACTCCCCACGAATGTCGTTTGAGAGATTTAAATTATTCCGCCCCGATTACGGTGGACATCGAATACATCAGAGGACATCAGCCGATAATTAGAAATAACTTATTGATCGGAAGGTATAAATCTTGGACGAACGTATATAAAATGTTAATTGTAAATTAAACTAATCGTCGCTTTCCAGAATGCCTATTATGTTAAGAAGTTCGAATTGCGTATTAAATGGTAAATCCCATTTTGAACTGGCAAAGATGAACGAATGTCCGCACGATCCCGGTGGTTATTTCGTGATAAACGGTCAGGAGAAAGTAATTCTTATACAGGAACAAATGCTTAAGAATAGAATCATTTTGGAAGAAGATAGTAAAGGGTACATTGTAGCGTCCTGTAACAGTTCTACTCACGAAAGGAAAACAAAAACTAACATCGTTGGTAGAGCTGGAAGGTATTACATGAGGCATAACATGTTTCAAGACGTAAGCGAATATCTTATACATTATCTATTATAAAATATATTGTCGTACGACTATATATGTATTTTTTTGTCGCAAGGATATTCCCGTGACGATAATATTTAAAGCGATGGGAATTGTGAGCGATCAAGAGATTATGCAATTGATCGGCACGGAAGAAGAATTTATGAAAAAATTTGCACCCAGCTTGGAGGAGTGTCATGTCCTGAATGTTTTTGCTCAAAATCAAGCTTTAAGGTAATACATACACATAAAATCATTTTTATTATCGATATTGGTCATGTATGATGTTTCAGGTTTCTCAGTAATAAAAAGAAACAGAAAAGATATTCGGTAATAAAGGCTAGCATCACGGATGAAATGAGAGACGTGTTAGCGACTAACATTTTATCTCACGTTCCTGTTAGTAATTTGATAGTAATTGTTATTACGATAAAATGTCGGGAAAGTATACTACCATGAGATATTTGCCATTACAGGTTATAGATTTTAATTTCAAAGTGAAAGCAACTTACATCGCTTTGATGATCCGTAAAGTTATGAAAGCACAGTGCGATGGTAAACTTGTAGACGATAGAGATTATTATGGTAACAAACGATTAGAACTGGCAGGTTCCCTATTGTCTTTGATGTTCGAAGATTTGTTTAAAAGATTCAATTGGGAGGTAATTGTGTTTTATTAGGTTTTATCAGTATTTATAATAAAGATTACGATTTACAATACTTTTTTAGTTGAAACAAATAGCTGACAAAAACATACCAAAAATTAAAGCTGCACAATTCGACATTGTAAAGCACATGAGACAGGATCAAATTACCAATGGATTGGCTTTTGCTATATCTTCCGTTAGTAAATAATGCTTTCTTTGATCGAGAATATTAAAAGGATACGTTTATAGAGGCCAGTTTTTCTAACAAAAATTTGCTCTTCGTAGGGTAATTGGACAATCAAACGATTCAAAATGGAACGACATGGCGTTACTCAAGTGTTGTCCAGACTCTCGTATATCTCGGCGCTTGGTATGATGACGCGAGTTAATTCACAGTTTGAGAAAACCAGAAAAGTGTCTGGTCCCCGATCTTTGCAACCGTCGCAATGGGGAATGCTATGCCCTAGCGACACCCCCGAAGGAGAAGTTAGTATCACGCATGAATTTCTCAACAAAAATTTATCAACCCGTACGTGTAAAAATCATTTTTAAACAAACTTCCCACAGGGTTGCGGTTTGGTGAAGAATTTGGCTCTTATGACGCACATTACTACAGAAATTGACGAGGAACCGATCATAAGATTAGCATTCAACTTGGGTGTCGAAAACGTAAACATTCTTGGCGGAGAAGAGATCAATAATAAAAATGTTTACATGGTATTTCTAAATGGTAATATTTTGGGCGTAGTAAAAAATTACCGGAGGCTCGTGTATGTGTTCAGATTGCTGCGTAGAAAAGGTCTTATAAATGGTTTTGTTTCGATATATACGCAACACCAACACAGGTACTTGTGTAAAAGTTATACCTGCACGTTATAACAGTGCAGTTTCTTTAGAATTATCTCACTTGTGTTTAGATGCATTCAAATCAGTTCCGACGGGGGACGGCTGTGCAGGCCATACATTATTGTACAAAATGGAGAGCCTCTTGTGCAAGAAGAACATATAAAATTCCTTGAACAAGGTGTACGATGTTTTGAGGATTTCTTACAAGATGGTTGGTTCGTTAAAAAATAAAAAAAGCTCTAAACTTTATCTATCTATTTAATATCGTTATCTTGATGATAGGCTTGATCGAATACTTGGACGTGAACGAAGAAAATGATAGCACCATCGCGTTCGACGAAACGCACATTCATAATAGAACCACACATTTAGAAATCGAACCCTTCACGTTACTTGGAGTCTGTGCTGGATTGGTACCGTATCCTCATCATAATCAAAGTCCAAGAAACACTTACCAATGCGCTATGGGTAAACAGGCAATGGGGACCATCGCTTATAATCAGCGGAATCGAATCGATACATTGATGTACAATTTGGTGTATCCTCAAGCGCCTATGGTGAAATCTAGAACGATAGAATTGATTAATTTCGATAAATTACCAGCTGGCCAGAACGCAACAGTGGCTGTCATGTCGTACAGCGGTTACGATATCGAAGATGCTCTTATCTTGAATAAAGCTTCGATCGATAGAGGGTTTGGTAGATGTTTGATATATCGAAATGCGAAATGCACGTTGAAAAGGTACGCTAATCAAACGTACGACCGAATAATGGGTCCATTGATAGATTCGACCACGAAGAAATCAGTTTGGAAGCATGATATTATCGATAGCGATGGAATTGCCGCGCCCGGCGAAATGGCGGAGAACAGGAAGGTTCGATTTCGAGGATCCTACGTTTAATAGCAAAGAAATTAGATTTTTTAGGATAAATTTTTTTTTTTTTTTCGTTCGTAGGTAATGGTAAATAAATCATCACCTTCTGCAAATATTGGTCCAGTGAATTCCGGTAATGTGCAAACACAAACCGAGTACAAGGATGTTCCAGTTGTATTTAAGGGTCCCGTTCCTGCGTACGTTGAGAAAGTCATGATCTCCAGCAATGCGGAGGATGCATTTTTGATCAAATTATTATTGAGGCAAACTCGACGACCCGAAATAGGCGACAAGTTTAGTAGTCGACACGGACAGAAGGGCGTAACTGGTAAATATACATATCATAGTAACGGTACTAGAATATTCCGTATATAACGAAGTTCGTGCATGATACGACACGTAGGATTGATCGTGGAACAAGAAGATATGCCGTTCAACGATTACGGTATATGCCCCGACATGATTATGAATCCCCATGGTTTTCCCTCGCGTATGACAGTCGGTAAATTGATAGAATTGCTCGCTGGCAAAGCTGGCGTTGTGAAAGGACAGTTTCATTACGGCACAGGTACGTTTACAATAAACCTTTCTTTCTTAGTAATTGTTTTCTTAGTAAACATATAATTTCGTTTCAGCCTTTGGGGGTTCGAAAGTGGAAGACGTCTGCGAGGAATTGATAAAGCACGGTTACAACTATTTAGGTAAAGACTTCTTTTATTCTGGTATTACGGGGGAACCGTTACAAGCCTATATTTATTCAGGCCCGGTGAGTCAACATTATTTTTGGTTTATCCGCTTAATTTTGTTAATTCGCTTGATTTTGTTAATTCGCTTAACTTTCTTAATAAATATATTTACAAACGTATAGGTTTATTATCAAAAGTTGAAGCACATGGTGCAGGATAAAATGCACGCTCGCGCACGTGGTCCAAGAGCCGTCTTAACGCGTCAGCCAACCGAAGGTCGTGCCAAAGAGGGGGGTTTACGATTAGGTGAAATGGAACGGGACTGTTTGATCGGATACGGTGCCAGCATGATGCTGTTAGAGCGTCTCATGATATCTAGCGATGCGTTCGATGTTGACGTATGCAACAAATGTGGTTTGATGGCGTATAGCGGCTGGTGTCACAGTTGTCGTTCCAGTTCGTGCGTTTCCACGATTTCCATGCCCTACGCCTGCAAGTTACTTTTCCAAGAACTACAATCTATGAACATCGTACCACGTTTGACGTTGAAAAATTATTGCGAATAATTTTGTACACTCTCGATAACTGCTTGAAAAGATACTGCGATTTATACATGTAAATATATTTATATTATCGTAAACATACCAACAGTTTCTGCTTATTTTAAAAGGTATACACAGTTGTAACAAAATCGGAGTTAAAGAGGCACAGCGTGTAGATGCATCTTTGGATTTTCAATGTGATTCTTGCTTTGTATCAAACGTAACTCGATCCTCTTTGCAGGTTGCGACTCCTTATCTTGGCATGCTTATGGAAATTCAAAAAAAAAAGATTATTATTCTCAGGTATTTATGCGTAACAATTTAAATAAATACCTTTGGAATGTTCGTAAGTTTCTAATAGAACGCAATAGAGCGAATTAACAGTCCTTTCGATGGCGGCCTCCATACTGTCTTGCAAGTATGTGTGAGCTAAAAACAGGGCGGCGAAAAGATCCCCGGAACCCGTGAAGCTAGTTGGTATTTTTGGTATGTCGATTTTTATTACTTTATTGTCTGAAATTAAGTTCCTTGTGTTTTGTACAGAAAAATTTTTATGCAGCAGACTCCTCCTCTAATCGTGATGTACAGGATGTTCGACCACACATGGGAAAAATTTTAATGGGGTATTCTGGATCCCAAAATAAGACTATAATCAAGAATACCAATTTGTTGATGGAAACTTCGATAAAAAGTTATTGAATCGTTCTGGAAAAATTATTTTCTGTTGTGGGGATCAATTACAATCATTTTTGGTTATTAGACATACACTTGAAATCCTACCCAGTTTCGAGAAAAAAATTCGAGAAGGTATGCAATTTTTCGATCAAATTCAAAAATTTCAAATCGTTCTGGAAAAATTATTTTCTGTTGCGGGGGTCAATTACAATCATTTTTGGTCATTAGATATATACTTGAAATCCTTCCCGGTTTCGAGAAAAAAATTCGAGAAGGTATGCAATTTTTCGATAAAATTAAAGAATTTCAAATCGTTCTGGAAAAAATATTTTCCATTGCAGGGGCCAATTACAAGCATTTTTGGCGAATACACATATCCCCGAAATCCTACGCAGTTTTGAGAAAAAAATTCGAGAAGGTACGCAATTTTTCGATAAAATTAAAAAATTTCAAATCGGTCTGAAAAAATTATTTTCGATTGCGGGGGTCAATTACAATCATTTTTGATGAATAGACATATCCTCGAAATCCTAACCATTTTCGAGAAAAAAATTCAGTAAGTGGACAAACTTTTTGACAAAATTGAAAACTTTCGAATCGTTCTGGAAAAATTATTTTCTGTTGCGGGGGTCAATTACAATCATTTTTGGTCATTAGACGTATACTTGAAATCCTTCTCGGTTTCGAAAAAAAAATTCGAGAAGGTATGCAATTTTTCGACAAAATTCAAAAATTTCGAATCGTTCTGGAAAAAATATTTTCCATTGCAGGGGTCAATTACAATCATTTTTTATGAATAGACGTACCCCCAAATTCCTGCGCATTTTCGAGAAAAAAATTCATTACGAGCGGAACTTTAAACGTTAATAAATTTTTAACGAAGCCTCCAACAACAAATTGGTATTCTTGATTTTCGTCTTATTTTGGCCTCTAGAGTCTCTCATTACAATTTTTTCCCCAGGTTATAAGAAAGAAAGCGCGATTTCCGATTTTCGACACGTCCTGAAGAACGTGCATCTGTATACACTTATGGTTTTTGTTATTTTATTACCTTTTATCGTACTGAAGATTGCTGTTAATTTGTTATGAATTTCCGTTGACGAGACGGCTACTATTTGAGGACCAGCTTTATGTAATTCTTTTATAGCACTTCGTAGTTCAGGTATTGTACCGACTTTTATACCCGTTAGTAGTCTGAAATAATTACCAGTATAAACGTTGCTGCTTCTAAATTTATATAAGAAAAAAAAAAAAAAAAAAAATAAAAGGTTCAACGTACTCCACTTCAAATTGATTTGGTGTTAAAATGTCTGCCAATGGCACTATTTCTCTTTTATAAATTTCGTTCAGTGCCTCGGGTACATACATTTTTCCATCGTCTCCCATAACAGGATCACACACTTGTTGTTAAAAAAAATTCGTGATTAATATGAAATTGCCAATGTCAATATTTTTTTACGTTTATGTTTATTTACCATATATGAGATCGGGATTTTTGCGTTTCAAGGCGCGAACCACCCCTGCTATTCTCTTCAAAAATGAAGCAGAACCAACATAGCCAGTGAGTAAATGAGTGTAATTGTCTAAATCGTTTTGTGCTAAGCCATCCACCAAGTCCTCTAGAAAATGATCATTAACGTTAAAACGCTTGGAAACAAATCCTTTGAAATGTGTGCATTTTCTGTAATTTTGTAGTCATGGGGAAACTTGATCTTACCTAAATCTTTATCATTTAGTACTTGACCTTTAAAGACCTTGTAGCCAGTATGATTAGAGAGTTGAACAGAATTAATTGCATCTACCTCAAATCCTAATAACTAAAGAAAAAGAATTATCTATTTTTTTTTTCTTCATTATACATTTGAAATTTTATCTATGAAATGTTATCAGTGACGAAACTAAAAGGTATGCGTCATGCAAATTTTACAACGAATAAAGCCAAACGATATCGGCTAATTTCTGGTTAATATTTCTTTTTTTTTTAAATATAAATTGTCTCGCCAAAAATATTTTGTACGAAAATTTTATTTGATGTAATAATTATTGCTCTATAAGCTTTTTGACTACGTTCCTTTAAATATCACTTGATTTTCTTTTCTCTGATGTAATAAAATTAATTAGCTACCCCTTAAAAGTATCCTTCCATAAATTTTAGTATCTGGGCTCCAGAATTGCTAGTTACGCTACTGAATATTATTTACATTTGTATTGATTACAAATTATCGGGCATAAAGGAAGTTTTTAATACGAAATCTATGGTTTTTTGAGGAAATTCAACAAAATCAATTTTTCCGCGTAAGAAAACATTTTAAAATATAAAGCGAACTGTTTTTATTTCAAATCAGCCGTTAAAATATTTATCTTGTTAATGTATTTTGACAATTGAGAACACAGAGAACGAGCAAGTAGAAATCTTCTACGATGATCAGTCTTACACGCGTCACGCGAACGATACTTGTTTATAAATAACTTTTTTTTTGTTTATTTCATTTTTCTATTAATCCGTTTCCCCGATACGGGAACTATACAAAATTGTTTTAAAAGATTTTCTTACATATCGAATAATTTCGAGGACAGTATCGGAGGCTTGAAGTTTTCGTAGGGTAGTTTCACCCCCTACTCCTTATTCCCAACCTCTCCACGAATTTGCAATTTCATATAAATCGTAGACGAATATATTCCTTGTACATTAGACGGTTATTGTATTAATATTTTCATTTGGAAAGAGAATGACGTGTATGATTTTATTTACGTATCGGTCGCAATGATTATTTTACTTTTTCTTTTTTTTTTTTCTATCGTTTAATATCGTAAGAGTCGATGTCTGAAATCATAAGTAAATTCACCATAAATGAGGATGATTGATGAAAACCGTGCGTGCCTCGTGAGCATACGCAATTGGCTTAAGATAAGCGAACCTCGGTCGTGTGAATGTGCATGGAAGGTGTGTACGAATGATTTCTGTCTTACAACGCGGGCGTGTCGATTACCTGCAATGGAAATGTTGCACTTTTATTTCCAACGTAACCGAATACCACGTGACTCTGTATCGAGAGTATTCGCGGTGACTTTTTGGAGCACATGTCGATCGACTGATACACGGTACGCTATGTTAATGTTCCTCGAATCCGGCGCGAACTGTACAATGCACACCATTACGCATCATTATATATAGCGTTGTATAGGTAGTTTCAAAAGTGGATTTGAATTTGTTTCTATCCTACTCGGGAGTCATAGCAGTGCTGTGTTGTTGAACGTCTTATCAGAATTGTTCGCGATAAGCAAGGTTCTCCATGGATCATTTTCATTGCGGTGAAATCGATGTTCGATGGAAACGTAGTTTTATCCACGAAAATCGGAAGACTGCGTTTGAAATGTATTTAGAAGATTATTTATACTACACGATTATTGTTTGGTCTGATACGTTTAATTGTTTATGGAAGGGAAATATTCTTTATGAAGGTCAGTTATACCACAGACGAGGTATACGAGTAGACATTTAACCTTATGAACTTTCGTGGCCCAATCTGACTGCCATACCGACCTGAAAATTCGGAGGCGATTTCAGCGACCTCTTCTCACGGATGGCGGTCAGTTGAGAAACTATTCACTGAATTAGATTCATGGGCAGCCAGTTGCAATTTTCAAACGACTGTAATACTTACAATAGTGAATATATTTCAATGAAACTTTTTTCTGAAGTAGAGCTCATGGGCACCTACAAAAAAGTATTAGACAACTTTTCTATACGGCGTCAAAGAAAATTACTAAAAATCAAAAACGAATTTTTAAGGAATAATCGACAAGGGCGTAGGTGCCTAAATTTCTCGGCGAAATTGAAAAGTTTCGAATCACTCTGGAAAAATTATTTTCGATCGCAGGAGTCAATTGCAATCATTTTTGGTCATTAGACATACACTTGAAATCCTTCCCGGTTTCGAGAAAAAAATTCAGGAAGGTATGCAATTTTTCGACCAAAATTACATACTTTCAAATCGTTCTGGAAAAATTATTTTCGGTTGCGGGGGTCCATTACAATCATTTTCGGTCATTACACATACCCCTGAAATTCTACGTACTTTCGAGAAAAAAATTCTTTACCGAAAATATAACGTGTGGCCAGGAATGTTTGCGTAATTTCATTGTCCGTCTCACTTCCTCTTGTGTTCGTTTGTGTAACCTGTTGGTAATGTTGCGAGTTACATGAAAATGGTAATGGGGCTCTGAAGCCCTAGAAAAGTGGGCCACAAAAATGTATTGGATGCAAGGTCACAGACGAGGTATACGAGTAGACATTTAACCTTATGAACTTTCGTGGCCCAATCTGACTGCCATACCGACCTGAAAATTCGGAGGCGATTTCAGCGACCTCTTCTCACGGATGGCGGTCAGTTGAGAAACTATTCACTGAATTAGATTCATGGGCAGACAGCTGCAATTTTCAAACGACTGTAATACTTACAATAGTGAATATATCTAAATGAAACTTTTTTCTGAAGTACAGCTCATCGGCACCTACAAAAAAGTATTAGACAACTTTTCTATACGGCGTCAAAGAAAATTACTAAAAATCAAAAACAAATTTTTAAGGAATAATCGACAAGGGTGTAGGTGCCTAAATTTCTCGGCGAAATTGAAAAGTTTCGAATCACTCTGGAAAAATTATTTTCGATCGCAGGAGTCAATTGCAATCATTTTTGGTCATTAGACATACACTTGAAATCCTTCCCGGTTTCGAGAAAAAAATTCAGGAAGGTATGCAATTTTTCGACCAAAATTACATACTTTCAAATCGTTCTGGAAAAATTATTTTCGGTTGCGGGGGTCCATTACAATCATTTTCGGTCATTAGACATACACTTGAAATCCTTCCCGGTTTCGAGAAAAAAATTCGAGAAGGTATGCAATTTTTCGATAAAATTAAAAAATTTCAAATCGTTCTGGAAAAATTATTTTCCATTGCAGGGGTCAATTACAAGCATTTTTGGTGAATACACATATCCCCGAAATCCTACGCAGTTTTGAGAAAAAAATTCGAGTAGTTGCTGAAATTTTTCGGTGAAATTACATACTTTCAAATCGTTCTGGAAAAATTATTTTCGGTTGCGGGGGTCCATTACAATCTAACGTGTGGCCAGGAATGTTTGCGTAATTTCATTGTCCGTCTCACTTCCTCTTGTGTTCGTTTGTGTAACCTGTTGGTAATGTTGCGAGTTACATGAAAATGGTAATGGGGGCTCTAGAGCCCGCGAAAAATGAGCTGAAAAAATACATTGGGTGAAAGGTCTACTCTTATACTTCGTCTGTGGTTATACCGTACATCGAGTTGTTCGCATGGATGATATCGAAATGGAAGATACGGCGTACCGATCGAGTAGCTCTCGTAAAATTATGGAGGAAATTTGGCGGCGCGTCTACGTTCGTATTGCATACCTCGTGATTTGTTTGTGCAGCCAGAAAAAGTATGGCGACGTGGGAAGGCGAGAGATTCCAAGAGATCGAGAATGCCGACGATATCGAGGGGAATTTTGATAACATTCTTGTGACACACGATCTTCAGGATTGCCTCGATGATAGCTTAGACTTGACCAATTTTGGTATAGCTTACGAACAGAGTGCCGTGTTCGATTATGAAAAGTATTCCGATGACGATACTCCTATCGACGAAAGGCTACCTAATGACAACACTACGGGGTAAGATTACTTGAATTTTATTTTTCTTCCTACGAAACGAACGTCTTTCTTGACAATCGTTTCGCTAAGAACGAAAACAAAACAAGGGAGCGAACAAAAGTGATTTGTAACCTATTCATTTACACGGCAAGCGGTATTTTGTATCCCGTCCTTATAAGGATATAACGTATTTTGAAATTAGACCCTTACTTTTATTTATTACTTTCATTTATTCAATGTCGGATGAATGTTTCTTTGATATTTACCATTAAGTATACATCATCGAATAGGAATTATTTAATATACGTGTAGTTGTATTTTCTTTCAATTTTTATAAAATGTAAACTGTAGATTTAATACTGGTTACACTGTGTCCATAAATATAGTTTATCGTTAAAGTTAAAAAATCAATTTTTAAACGTACGATGTTGATTTATTTACGAGAGAACATTATTAATTGTTAGATATGGACTATCCGTGCGTATATAAATGCAATATTACTATGTTATAAATTTAGCTTAGGAGTAGTCGCAAGTAACAATGCATTCGACTAAGTGTTACTCATGCTTGGTGAATATATATTTTGTTGGTAAAATTAGTCCGCGTTACGTATGTCAAAATTATTTCCACGAACGAGTTTATAGATGTATATCGCTAAATAACGTTTCTACTTTCTTACAGGTCGATACATCATACCATTAGTCCACACGAGATTTATATGGGAATCCATTCCGATCAGGATGATATTTTACCGAGCGAATTGTTGTACACAACCATCAAAATTGAAAGCACAGTTTCAGACACCAGTCAAAAACACATCGGTCGTTATACCTGCGAATACGAGGGATGTAATAGAACTTACAGTACAGTTGGAAATTTGCGCACTCACATGAAAGCCCATAAAGGTAACATTTTTAAATAATTGTTAACTCGAAGAAGTTAAAAATATTTTTATTACGAGAATGAATGACTATGAAAAATGTTACTAATACCTCGAATATCGTGTACTTTTAAATAACGTATCTATTATAATTATAATTAGAGATTATTTTCGTTAACAATCGTTATTTCGTGTATACAATATTAAATAATATATGGATTGCTTGTTGCGCTTACATAACTATCGTAACACATACTAATTTGTATATGTCCTTTTCGTGCTTTCTCAGATTGAAGGATATAAGGTAGGTGCGAGAAATGTCATCGTTATTAATATTAGTTTTCGTGCTCTAAACAAATCTGTATGTACGGTGTGTGTTTGCGCTTTAGAAAAAAGTTCTCTTACGTATAGTCTTATTTATTATGAAGTCGTCACTGCTGGTATAAAGGGATCGCTTCGACCTGCATGGCTTTCAGATACCGCAAGCAATAGGTAGCCCAGCAAACTTTTTATGCGGAGGGAATTCTAAAAACTTTCAGGCGAGTATCGGTTTAAATGCGCAGAACCAAATTGTGGCAAGGCCTTTCTCACGTCGTACAGCCTAAAGATTCATGTTAGGGTACACACGAAAGTAAAACCGTTTGAGTGCAATCACAAAGGCTGCGAGAAAGCATTCAATACCCTTTACAGACTGAGAGCTCACCAAAGACTACACAGTGGCAATACATTTAACTGCGAAGAGACTGGATGCGTTAAATTCTTCACTACTTTAAGCGATCTCAAGAAACATATTCGTACTCATACTCAAGAAAGACCGTACAAGTATGTTTTTTTTTTTTTATATATTTTTAATTATTAATTAAACACTCGATTTTTCGCTTAATTTTGCCTGCATATTGTATTTTTAATATACATATATTTCAAGAAGATTAAAGTAATTTGAAACTTATCGAATTCTTGATTTGCAATCGATACAGGTTGGATGTTAATGTGTTAGACACATTACCATATTTTTATATTATATCACAATGTGATGTTATGTACATTGCGTACGACGTGTACGCGGAATAACAAGCTATTTTTTCAGGTGTCGAGAAAAAGGTTGTGGTAAAGCTTTCACGGCATCGCATCATTTGAAAACGCATAAGAGGACGCATACGGGTGAACGACCTTATGTGTGTACTTATGAAAATTGTAAACGATCCTTTACCACGCCTCACAGTCTGAAGAGTCACTTGAAAACTCACAAGAGAACGATTAATAACGATGAAACAGTATGTGTCGTAGTCGTTAAAAAGAAAACCTTTACGTACGGTTGAATGTATGCATGATGTTACGTTATTTTGTCACAGAAACAGGAAGGGAATCAAGACGATAGCGGAAACCAAAGAAACAGTGATTTATTAAAGTCGAAAATCGATGTCGTTGAAATAACTCCTAAGAACAGAAACGTGCCATCTTATGCTATTATACCATTATCTAGTAGTAGGAAAAATAACAAAAGTGTAACTTACCTATCCACGGAAAATGTAAACGATCAGCCAGCTCCCGCAAACGGTATGTTGGATATCTTAAGTCGGAACAGTCTCGATAAAGAGCTCGACTATAATATCAACGCCAAAAGCACGGAAGACTCGGACGAAACTGTTAAAGTGACGCTCCTCGCGTCGGAAAATATCATTCTAAATAACTTTAACGAGCACACGATCGATAATTTTAACAACGATAAAAGTTACGATAAATTTAAAATATTCGACGAAGTAAACGATTTGAATTTGCAAGATCGGAACGAAGAATATACGTCTGATCCTGCAACGGAAACGCAGGATAGCAAAGCGAATGCAATGAAATCGAACTCGATAAATTTGGAGCAGAAAATTATACAGGATGGCTTGCAGAACACGATCGCTCACATATCGGGGGGAACGGATTTTACAAGCGACGTGCAGCGATATAAGAATCGTGTATCCATGACCGAGGAGACGTACAATAACGAATCAAACGTGGACGTAGATAACAATAATGGAACTTTGTACAGCAAGGATTCAATTACTAGTCATCCGTCAGAAATAATTAGTTCCTCGAGCGAGACGCAGCTTTTTGATAGCGAGATAGAAAATATATCATTCGTTAATGGCGCCTTGCGAACCGGATCACTCAACGAAGTTGAACAGTCGTTGAATACCAGCGTTGTTGCGACTGCACAGTCGGAAGCTATCGAATTAGCTGTAGCGTCCGAAGAGGAAATACCTTCCCCTTGGATAGATGTAATCGCGCTGGCGACGCCCTCTGCTCTGAGAAGACAGTCGTGGTCGGAACTAAATGCTTTCCCAACAGCTGTTCATTCGCTGGTCGATCTGGTCGAGCCAGAACCATACCCGTTGCAACTGGAGAACCAATTGGAATCGTTGCAACACTTGGACAACGTTGATTTAGTAGACGCGGAGAGCATCACCGCGAGCACGGAAACCACGCATTGTCGAGAGAATGTTAACGACAGGCAAAAAGATGACAGGACAAGGGTAAAAAAAAGCAGGAACGTTTTGCAAGAGATCACCGCCGACGCGGACATATGCAAATGCATTGATTGCAAATGCTATTACTTGCAGAATTGTCAAAATTGCTTGAACAGTCCGCCGACGGAATTCAACGAGAAAGACGTATTACCGAAAGTGGTGAACGATTTCGTGTCCTCTTTGCAAACCGACTGTCTATGCGACAACGAGCTCGGCGGTTGTGGCTCCTGTTGCGTGGTCATCTGTCTGAAAACGTTGCAGCAATTTCAAGAAGTGTTCAGTCGTAATTGTTGCAAAAGTTCCAACAATGTAACGTGCGTAGGGAAAAACTGATCCCGTCGTCGACGAGACGTAATTTAACAAAAAAAAAAAAGAAAACCAATGAAACAAACGTTTTATTATGCAACTAGTCATGCCAGAAGAAACATATTTTTGCATAAATCTTTAGTAAGGATTTGTTATTTATCGTGATCTATAGAGTAGCTTGCTTAGCTTTAAACGCGATTTTTTTTTTTCACGTGGATGTTAATTTTAAAAAAAGAAAATGTTACCTAGGACAAATTGAGAGTATTGGGACTGTATGTACATACCTGTACTATATTTCAAGAGACTTTATTACGTAGATGCTATATATACATATACTTCGTCCAGCAAGGAGAAAAAATTATAACAGGGAACACCGCGTGACTTGCGATTGGATCGAAATGGCGGGATGCTGTTCCCTCAACTAATTATCTATGATAATTAAAGTTCTGAGCGAGTAGAGTCTATGAGCGAACATTTTTAAAGATATAAAATAAATTGATGTACATAAAAAATTAAAATAACGACCTTTGCAATATATTTTCGGGCAAAAAACATAATGGACCGACGAGCTCCAGTCGCAAGTCATTTGGTTTTATTCACAGACTACTTTTCGCTGAACGAAGTGTATATGTTATACATTTTATTGCGTGCCAATATATTTGTAGATTTTTTACTTAAAAACTTTTACGTATATACAATATTGCTGTTGCATAGTTCGTAGAAAGGAAAGCTCTATTGTTTTAACGTATCGAACGGCAATAAAATATCGATATTTTAGAGAAATATTTATGATACAGGAAGGTACACGAAATATATGTACAAATATCATGTAAGTACATATCATCTTTTTATACATAGTGATGGTTGTAAAAAACATTTTAAGTCATTAAATTTTAGGAAAGAATGATATTCATCGACTCGCGTGGTATTTATTTAAACAGAAGAAAAAAGAAACCATCGATTATGTGTAATGTACTAAATACTATAGATAGTAGTCGAGATAAAATATTTATTGTTTAGTAATTGTTTTCTAATGCACAATACTTAGAGAAGATATAACGCGCCAAATAAACGCTTAAAGGTATTTCACCTCAGATTGTAATACAAAAGAAATCGTGTAAACGATGTTAAAAATTAAGTTATGCTCGCTGTAAAAAGTATACGAAATTCAATGAGAAGCAAATCGGTACGATAGAATGAAACTGGTTTTATAATTTTGGTGTGAAATTCTTTGCGGCTGTTAATAAATACTTGTTGAATGCAACAAAATCAATGTACCTAAATAGTTTTTAGAAGAGAAAGTTTATCGTGTTATGATTAAGTAACATTTGACTAACATTTAATAAATTATACCATGAAGTTATGTATTGTTATTTTTTTTTTCTGCGATAAAAAAATCGATACATAATTTATTAATATCTTTTTATTGTTACTGTATTTTTATACAGAATCGTGACAGAAATGTGGTGAATACATGCCCTAAGATCGAATAACAGAGAATAATGATTTTACATTTATACAATATCCGTGTAATGCTTATTGAGCGGCCTGTACTAGAGCTTCCGCAACTTCAACAGCAATGCCTGCCGCAGCTTTGTCCTGTTCGGACGATGCGGACGAAAGCTGTTGCTGAGCTTGGCTGAGCACGTCTCTAGCCGCAGAACTGTCAAGATTCTCTACCGGATGCGCTTCCTCTGCCAAAATCTATAAGTTTTCAAAACGTTTAAGGATATTTTTATTAACATATTAACAAAGACTAGATAAATATTTGTCTTTCTTTTTCCCCATAATATAATACGTTACTAATATACCTGTATACTATTATCTTCGTTTATAGTGACTGTTCCGGAGGAAACGAAAATTTTTTTGGTATCTCCGCCTTCTTCGTAGACTGTGACTACGCCAGGCTTCAGTACAGCTAATGTGGGAACGTGTTTCGGTAAAATACCAAATGAACCAGAGAACGATGGTACATCCACTTGTTTGATAACAGCTTGATCGTAAAATACCTATTGCAGATGTCATTAAAAATTTACAAATTTTAATTCGAAAGAATGCATATTTAATAGAGTTACGCATATATTTATTCATACCTGATTAGCTCCAGCGAAGGTAAATTTTATTTGATCGCTGGCAGGCGCCGCGTCGGCGTAAGTTCTGTGATTCCGAATGTACCTCAAGTAGGGGCGCAAATTACGAGCGAGAGTGGCCATTTTAACGTACTGCAATCAAAGATCGTTTGTAATATTTAATGGGAACTGTTACGACAAACAATATTTATGTTCGAAGAATGGGCAGAACCGATTACATCACAAGATCGACATACATGCATAACCCATCTTTCTACAATCGCGCACGTTAAATTAACTAGATATATTTACTGAGCGTGGATCGTCTATACTTTCTAAATGCAAGTTCAACGAACTTGTCCGTTTAATCAACCGTGTTTCGTACCGTATTTTAGTTATAGGAGATATCACAGATATAACTGAAGATGAACGAAGTCAAACGTAAGATGAACCTACTTGTCTTGCAGACGACAAAAAGTGTTTCCGTTTTACTCGTTCGATGGCGCGACTGCTGAAATATTGCAGCGCATGCGCAAGCGTGCATTTTCAAGAGGGTGGTTGGGATTGTTGGGAATTGGTTAGAACGGGTCTCCATTCGCAGCAACCTCCACGTGGTGAGACCTGGGTAATATTATTTACCGTTTAATTAATAATCGTATCGCTCTTAGCTGGGTAATGCAATTATTAATTAAAAACTAAATAATATTAGCAAATTGGCTGCGATCCGCTTTGCATAGGTCATCATGAATATAGAGCTTCTTCGCTAGGTTAGTATTGATTCTCATCGAGTCATCAAAGATTCTAGAGTATTGTCAGAGACAAGGTATACGAGTAGATCTTTCAATGTATTTTTTCGGCCCATTTTTATGGGGTCTCAAAACTCCATTACTATTTTCGTGTCATTTGCAACATTACCAACAGATTTAGAAATGAATTTCTCACATGTATTTATGTACACACTACAGCTATCAGCCCATTAACACTTTACCGACCGGTAGCGGTTGATTAATCGGCTATCGGTCGGTAAGCGTTGGTCGGTAAAGAAGTTGATTAATACGCTATCGGTCGGTAAGCGTTGGCCGGTAAAGAAGTTGATTAATACGCTATCGGTCGGTATGTGTTGGCCGGTAAAAAAGTCGATTAATAGGCTATCGGTCGGTAATGTGTTAATATTAATTCGGCGAATAGTTCGCCAACTGACCGTCATCCATGAGAAGAGGACGCTAAAGTCACGTCCGAATTAACAGGTCGGTATGGCAGTCAGATTGGGTCACGAAAGTTCATGAAATGTAAGGTCTGCTCGTATACCTCGTCTGTGACCTTGCATTCAATATATTTTTGTGGCCCACTTTTCTGGGGCCCCATTACCATTTTCATGTAACTCGCAATATTAGCAACAGGTTACACAAATGAACACTAGAGGAAGTGAGACAGAAAATAGAATTAGAATAAGCATGGATTCGGTGGGAAATATAATCCCAAATTATGTGTATGTCTTATTGTGCCGATTAACATTTATTCTCTTACTTCGTCCAAAATTTTGACCACCTAAAATATTTCGATTGTTACGAGAAATTGACTAGTTTCTGAAGAACGAAGAACAATGCACAATAATATCGATAATAACGGAAAAATGGTTTGCTCTCCCGCGACAAAACACTACGTCATTATAAAAGGTAACTGATTTATAGGTTGAGTAACGTGTTTCACGTGGGTGGAAGATTTGGTTCGCTAAGCAACGATAGATTTCAATGCCTGATAAAGAAAGGTCGCAATGAATTAAAATCTCTTCGTTGAAATCACCGTCATTGCTACTGTATCATGTATCACAAAAACTTTAAAAATTCTCGTATAATTATATCAAATTCGAATTTGCTATGTTTATCACATCGATTTTTTCTGATAACATCGTATCAAAATCGATCGTACCAGATGTTGGAATTATTCTATCACTATTGCAATAATAAGAATTATTGCTGTCTGTAATTGGCGCTTAAAATGATATATGATAGAATTCGTATCCTCGGCGCCTGTGTGTATGTTACCCGACGATTACGAATCCGACAGGTGCCACCACCTTGCGGAATAATTTGCGTGTTCCTCGTAACTGACTATCAGGAAAGTATCAAAGTAAAACGAATAGGGGGTTCGTTGCAAAAAACCCGCGAATGCAAGTAAACATACAGACGTACGGTTACACTGTCCTTCTAATATCCTGAGAAATATTGCTTCACCGTTAATATACATAGATGTCGCGATATTAGGTAATGGTAAAATGTCACTCGAGAAATATAAAAGATATAAATATTTTCTTCCAAATTGTTTCTGCCTTGTGCATTTTATTCAAACGACGCACAAGGTGTCTCTGACGAGTACTGTTTCGCGTTAATCGAATTACTTGTCGTTTATATAGCAAGGTGATAAATGAACAGCGGAAAGGATGGGGCCCCGATACGAGTAGGCACAGAATCGTATACATTACGATCGTGTGCATGTGTTCCAACGGTCTCGGAAAGCGATCGCGTCAAGCAGCGTGGAAGAAGGGGATTTTCACGTCAGTTCAGTGAGCTCACGCACTTCGAACGACGATCGTCGGCGACGACGCGATCCGGAAACCTGCAACGTCCAAAAATGGCGTTTATCGCGTAGCTCGCCGCGACACCCGATGTGCCTCGACCTCGTCGACGAGTGGAGCAGGCTCTGTCGAAAGGGAAATCGCGTGAACTCCGTAGGAGTAGGAGGATCCCGTGGCCAAGAAGCTACTCGGTAGACCGACACGATCGTAAATATCAGTTCACATGCCAAACATTCTTACATCCTCGATCGCGCGCGAGTGAACGTACAAGATAGTTCGCGTTCGAGACATTTGTACCGACCAAGTCGAATGTCGCCGTGTACGACGGAAGTTTTTAAATACCTCTTTTGACACGTTCCTCGAACGAATCCACCCCCCCAAATCGCGCCCTTTCGACGTGAATCCCGATTGGCCAATCCGCCGACCTTTCGACCAATCCACGACGATTACCGTAAACTCTCGTCGTGACTTTCGTTCCCAAAACGAACGTTATCGTCGCGGCGAAAAATTCGATCGACCGTTGGCGATCATTTTCCTATTGGATCGTTCGAAACGTCGATTTCAAAAGTTCGACGTGTTTCCACCGGCGCTGTCACGCTGCACGGGTCGAGTGGTCGATCGCGAAACAATTCGAAAAGGACAGATGCAGTGAAAAACGCGAGCGAGATAAATGAATTTTGTGCGCGTGAGTGTGTAAAACACCGGTATCTATATAGTGCTCTGTCGAGAGGTTCCCATTAAACGTTCTGGACGAGTAATGTCTCGTTTTTTGTATTCGTGTAATTGCAGACGCGTTCTCGTACTACGTTCTCGTTACGTCGTCGGTTGCACCATTTGCGTTGCAGTCGTGAACGATTCCGATCGTGTTGTTTATCGTGAAAGTGTCGCGCGAGGGTTGTTTTGAATATCGTAAGTCGCATCGTGCATCGTTTCGAGCGTAGGTAAGTTTCCCGTCTGAAAGTACATTTACGATTCGTCGGATTCTGCGACGATAAAGATACGATGGCGATCGATGTGGACGACGGTCGTCTGTCAAACTTAGCTGCGTCCGGCGTGAAATATTTACGCACTTGCGCAAGTTCACGCCGGTCGGGCAAGGTTTTGAGACAACAGTGATGTCATAGCGCGGCGAGAAGCGATTTCTTTGGCACGTGGAGTGGATGTCACGTTATATCACGCGATATAGAAACCTCGGAACTTGATTAGGATCGATCGTTCGAATTTCTATCCATTTTCGGCCATCTAATCTCACGGCGTATCGATGGATTCACGATCGTGATTTTACCGCGGAATTTCTTTCACCCGTTTTCCTCGCACGGTAGACAAGCGTTGACGGGCCATAAGTATCGTTTCTACGCTTTCTTCTCCCCTTTCTCTCCGTTTGTAACTGTAAAAGATTTAATGAATTCGCACGAAACGGCGGAACGGCGGATTTCCATTTAAAAGGATAAGAAACAGGAGATGCACCCGACGTTCGGAGACGTAGCAACAGGTGCCCGCATAGACACTTTCACCGTGTGAAATTTTTTTTCAACAAACTAATCTTCCCGTGCACCGGGAGCATCTCGCGATTAACTAGACGTTTCGTGGAGAAAATCGAGAGGTGCCAGGCACCGTTTCCGGGCGAATCGAACGCGCCGTTGCGCGTAATTCTGTACGTTTTTAAATTTCGAACGATCTCGCGCTGCAACGAGGTTTCGTTTATCAGGCCACTTGACCCGGGGTTCGCGTTGAATTGTCTCTTATAGACCAGTGGTTGTTAACCTTTTCTCTTCCACGGATCATTCTTTGTAATTTGTTGCAAACAGCCTATGGGAATTCGGTCTTAAATATAAGCTTATTCGTATTGGTAAAGAAAATTATTATATTGATACGGAAATTGGAAATATATTATGATACTGGTTTTGTGTAATAATGTAGTGTCGTTTTGTTTTTTGTACCAATCTGCGTTAGGGTTACTTGCAACCGGAATCACACCCTCCACTGTTTATGTGTTTTCAGCTCGAGTGTTAACGCAAGTGGCCGGCAGCTGTGTAATTAAAAACTAGAGGGGGGCAACAATATTATGTATATAACAATTTTGAATAAACAATTGTTATATAAAAATTATATACAGGATGTTCGGCCACCCCTGGGAGAAATTTTAATGGGAAATTCTAGGGGCCAAAATAGGACGAAAATCAAAGATACTAATTTGTTGATGGAGGCTTCGTTAAAAAGTTATTAACAATTAAATTCAAAAATTTCAAATCGTTCTGGAAAAATTATTTTTGGATGCGAAGGTCAATTACAATCATTTTTGGTGATTAGGCATACCCTCGAAATCCTACCTATTTTCGAGAAAAAAATTCGAGAAGTTGCGAGATTTTTTGACAAATTAAAAAATTTCAAATCGTTTTGAAAAAATTATTTTTGGATGCGAAGGTCAATTACAATCATTTTTGGTGATTAAGCATATCCGCGAAATCCTACCTATTTTCGAGAAAAAAATTCGAGAAGGTGCGAGATTTTTTGACAAATTAAAAAATTTCAAATCGTTTTGAAAAAATTATTTTTGGATGCGAAGGTCAATTACAATCATTTTTGGTGATTAAGCATATCCGCGAAATCCTACCTATTTTCGAGAAAAAAATTCGAGAATGTGCGAGATTTTTTGACAAATTAAAAAATTTCAAATCGTTTTGAAAAAATTATTTTTGGATGCGAAGGTCAATTACAATCATTTTTGGTGATTAAGCATATCCGCGAAATCCTACCTATTTTCGAGAAAAAAATTCGAGAAGGTGCGAGATTTTTTGACAAATTAAAAAATTTCAAATCGTTTTGAAAAAATTATTTTTGGATGCGAAGGTCAATTACAATCATTTTTGGTGATTAAGCATATCCGCGAAATCCTACCTATTTTCGAGAAAAAAATTCGAGAATGTGCGAGATTTTTTGACAAATTAAAAAATTTCAAATCGTTCTGAAAAAATTATTTTTGGTTGCTAGTCTCAATTATAATTATTTTTGGTGAATAGACATACCCCCGAATTTCTACGCATTTTCGAGAAAAAAATTCCAAAAGGTGCGAGATTTTTCGACAAATATAAAAAATTTCAGATCGTTATGAAAAAATTATTTTTGGTTGCTAGGGTCAATTGTAATTGTTTTTGGTGATTAAGCATATCCGCGAAATCCTACCTATTTTCGAGAAAAAAATTCGAGAAGGTGCGAGATTTTTTGACAAATTAAAAAATTTCAAATCGTCATGAAAAAATTATTTTTGGTTGCTAGGGTCAATTATAATTGTTTTTGGTGAATAGACATACCCCAAAATTCCTACGCATTTTGGACAAAAAAAATTCCTTACCGAAAATATAATCTGAGGCCTGAAATGGTTCCTCGAAGTCTTTAAAACGTCATAACTTCTGAACGGATTGAACGATTTTAATGTTTCAAAATGCAAACAACGCGTATTTTGACGAAGAATATGTGGAAATTCTAAGAATATTCAAAAAGCTATTCTTCGACTCCAGAAAATGAGAAAAACCCCATAAAAAATGGGCCAATTTTCAAACAACCATAACTCCTACAATAGTGAGTATATTTCATTGAAATTTTGGGGCGACCTAGAGTTCATAGATACCTGTAAGAAAGTATTAAATAACTTTTCTGTACAGCGCCAATCAAATTTATTAAAAATGAAAAACGAATTTTTAAGGAAAATCGACAACTTAAATATTTTGGCGAAAAACAATTTTTTCAAATCGTTTTGGAAAAATTATTTTCGGTTGCGGGGGTCAATTGCAATCATTTTTGGTGAATAGACATATCCCGGAAATCTTTCGCATTTTCGAGAAAAAGATTCAGTACCAACAGAAATATAAACGTTAATAACTTTTTAACGAAGCCTCCATCAACAAATTACTATTCTTGATTTTCGTCCTATTTTGGTCTCCAGAATCTCCCATTACAATTTTTCCCAGGTACGACCTAACACCCTGTATAATTAAATTAGAGAAAACCAGCCATTTTGAAACTTCGATGTAAGCTTCTATTTGGGACCGAACTTGTTTCATTTATCATATATTCATGAGCCCTTTATCGAATTCAAATCCAAAGGATGACCCCATTTGCCATGGAATTATCACGCCTGTATCATACGATGTTTTAACTGATAAAAAAAAAGGAACGAAAATGGAATCGACCGAGCAATTACGCCCGGAGCAATTGGTGGGCCTGGTGGCCCGTTCCGCGGAGGGCACAGCAGCCAAGGGGATGCCGATCAAAGGCCACGAGGACCTGTGGGTGGAGATTCAGGCGAACACGTTCAGGAACTGGGTGAACGAGCACCTAAAAGCCGCAGACGTTGCTGACGGGCCAGTGATCGATCTCGCGGAGGATTTTCGCGATGGTACGCGACTCTGCGCCCTCGTCGAGGTCCTCACCAAACGACGTCTGCCTCGATGGAATCCGAGACCGGCCAATCAGCATCATCACTTGGAAAACGTATCAACGGCTCTGCAGGCCATCGAGGCTGATGGCGTAAAACTCGTCAACATCGGTGAGTCAACGTTAAATTGGACAAAATTACCTTTTTGAACTGATTAGAAATCCATAGATACGACTACTATGCTAAATACCATGCAATGTTGCTCTAGTTTTTTTTAAAAATCTTTCAGATTACTGGTACAGTAGAGGATCATTATAAGTACCCTTTGTCTGCTGCGTGTAAATGATCTGGAAAGGAATCAATTTATTCCAAGTATATGAGTCGACGTTGAATTGGACAAAATTACATTTTGAACTGATTAGAAATCCATAGATACGACTACTATGCTAAATACTATACACCGTTGCTCTAGTTTTTTTTTTAAATCTTTCAGATTACCGGTATAGTAGAGGACCAGTAAAAGTACCCTTTCTCTGCTGCGTGTAAATGATCTGGAAAAGAATCAATTTATTCCAAGTATATGAGTCGACGTTGAATTGGACAAAATTACATTTTGAACTGATTAGAAATCCATAGATACGACTACTATGCTAAATACTATACACCGTTGCTCTAGTTTTTTTTTTAAATCTTTCAGATTACCGGTATAGTAGAGGACCAGTAAAAGTACCCTTTCTCTGCTGCGTGTAAATGATCTGGAAAAGAATCAATTTATTCCAAGTATATGAGTCGACGTTGAATTGGACAAAATTACATTTTGAACTGATTAGAAATCCATAGATACGACTACTATGCTAAATACTATGCACCGTTGCTCTAGTTTTTTTAAAAAATCTTTCAGATTACTGTTGTAGTAGAGGACCAGTAAAAGTACCCTTTCTGGAAAGGAAACAATTTATTCCTAAATCTAAGTATTTGCCAACAAGCTATCAAGCAATTGGACAGAGGCCATTGATCCCTGCATTTCTAAAACAAAGAGCTATAATTAATAGTTCCTGAGAAAGTAGCTTGTAACAGTTTACTTGGTTCACCCTCGTATCTCCATTACTTGCGACCTATTCTTCTCATGTAATCGTCAGTTTCTTACAAACGTTCTGACTTTTGTTTTCAAGCGGAAGGCACGAGTCAACGCGACGGACGAGATCCGCATGCAAGCATCGAAGCTGCATCCAACGAAGCTCCCCCTCGCGGACAATAAATCAGTCGCTCTCGAGTCACGGGCGACGATTTCCTCGGCGAGAACGACACCGCTAAAACGCGATCGTATGCGAGGCTGTTTCCCCGCTCGTGGAAAGATACCGATCGCGTTTCGCGTTCGGTCGCTTTTGGCGATCGTATCGTTCCCGGCCGCTAAACGATTTCTCGTCGTTGCTCGCAGGTGTATAATTACACAGGCCGACTCCTCGAATGACTTCACCCGGTCGTTACGTCGCCGCCGTTACGTTGCACAATTTTATTCGTAACGCCTTCTTGATAATCGACTCGCAGATAACCCACATGCGAGGTGCTTTGTTTACCGGTCAAGTATGCCGCCCGAGCGGAAAGGATACGCGTACGCGTGAAACGCGCGATCGTCGATCAGAAATAGTCACCCAAGGTGGCTATAGCTACCCATACCATTCCTTAATCATGGGACAGTAGCTGAATCATCGGTCTATCGCTGAATCGCGTGTCCTTCTGATCGATTCAAACGTTTATTGAGTTTCTTAACCCTGAACTGTAATACCAATACAGTGAAAACTCTATTTTCTATTTTTTTTTTTTGGGTGCGATAACACCATTTATCTTCTATTTTTTAATCTTTTTAAATTCTCTATTTTTTACTCCCACTTGTCTCCTGTTCCCTGTTCCTTACTCCAGTTATTCCCCTCCTTTCTACTCTTTTAACTCCTTCCTCTCCTCATTATCTCCTTTTCCCCTTTTTAACCCTAATTTCGCCTTCAGATGTCGCTTACAACTAAAATTAAAGTTAACCTTAACCTATTACAAAAGACAATCAAACTAAAATAACATTACTTAATTACTAATTATCACTACCAGTGAAAACTCGATAAATGTCCTCGAAAGCTGTTCCGTAAATGGTACATTTTTATCTTCGCCAATAGGGGGATCCCCCTCGAACCAGCGAGACGAAGTGTAACCGGAGACGTAACGGCTTTCTTTAAAAATCCTTATTGCCTTCGTCATCTTCGTTCAAAGACCACACTACTGTACAAGAAGAAAGATTTTTATCTTTTACTTTTTTTTAATCAAAATTATACTATCACGCGGGGGAGATTTTTCTAATTAAAATGAGACTAAACACGATATAATAATTTAATTAATAAAAAATTATTTTTGGTTGCTGGGGTCAATTACAATCATATTTGGTCAATATACATACCCACGAATTCCTGCGTATTTTCGAGAAAAAAATTCGAGAAGGTGCGAAATTTTTCGACAAAATTAAAAAATTTCAGATCGTTCTGAAAAAATTATTTTTGGATTCTGGGGTCAATTACAGTCACTTTTGGTCAATAGACGTACCCCCGAAATTCTACTCACTTTCTCGAAGAAAATTAAAAACAATCATCGAGGTATTTTTTTTTAAACTCAATTCAAACTTGACAAACATTTACCATAAAAAATTGTAACTAATTGCTAATATTGTAAAAAGATTGTCTAAAAGTTTAGAAGTTACTATAATACTGTACATAACAAAAATCAAATTAATGCAATTAAATTGCAATAAATTTCGAACATCATTTTCAACAATAAATTGGTAAATTCAGTAAAAATTATGGACAGTGTTAAAATCTACGTTCCTCTATTAACATTCTGAGATATAAAAATTTATAAAACGTAGACTTTATTTTTTTCACTTTTGTCCATTGTTGAAATGGCGTTTAACGAGTATTCTTTAGTGACGAATGAAATTTGCCCGACTCCGTCTGACATTTACTATAACGTGGCGTGTAATAATGGTCCTCAACGTCCAGTTTCCGAACACACAGTCGCGGTTATCATTTGCAATCAAAAAATATGGCCGTTACGTCACTGGTTGCAAATCGGACTTCGAGGTCGTTGCCTTTCTTGCGCTCTATCGGCGCCTACGAGGCTGTTCAGACCCATTACGATTATGCTCGTGTAGCCGGCGACTAATTTAATTTCCAACGCGCGAGCGGCAAACCGATGCATCGGCGATAAAGCCTGCGCATTTACGCGTCTCGTGCATCGAGAGAAGCCTCGAACGGGGGGGCAAGAATGCGTTAATTCCGCATTAACGGGAGAACATTAATTGAAATCGTTTAAAAGGTTCGAGCCTGAACATCCTCGCTGGCAAATTGTTTCCAATAAACTGGATCAGTGTTTCTCAAACTTCCTGCAAACGCGTACGAACCTTTTGTCAAACTGCCAAACGAGACTTTTGTCGGTGTAATTAGCAAGTACAATACACACTTAAATGAAATCACGCATTATTTTTTACGTAAGTCGAGTCTTTTCGTCATTCTGCATACCAACGAATCAAGGCGTGACCATCCAAGTCGTAATACGTACTTCTGAAGATGTTTCATATCCTATTCTTACACCGAAGATCTTGATTCTCGCGTTAAAATCTTATTCGTCACACCACACTACGTAGCACTAACGACTTTGATCGCGGATACCGGTTTAAACAATGCGATTTGCAAGCATATTTCATAAGTTTACGTCTTGGATGCTCCTGCTTTCCAGATATTGCTTATTTATCGCGTTAGATCGAATCAGTTTGAAACTTGTAATAGGTTTTTCTAATGACGAAAGAGCTGATATGTTTAGCGCGTTCGCGAACTACGGTAAAACTAAACGGAATCATTGCAGAGATTTATCGTACCGCATATCCTGTGTACAAACGCGATGGAATCGTATCGGTGTAAAATAGATTTTTAATTGCCATCCTAAATAGGATGCCGATAGTTAACGGGTTAAACGTTCGAATCCATCCGCGGATAAATCTCTCCTTCGAGCGATTATTCGTCGACTAAGTTTCACACGCGTACGTCCTTTTCCCACATATGAGAATTGAATGGAGATTTAGGTCACCTCGAAGACGAATCGATGCCCATCGACGCGAATGCAACTCGATGCGTTGTACGTGAAATAATAATATTGATCTGTAAACTTTTTTGTGCCCGTAGGGAACGTGGACATCGTGAATGGAAATTTGAAACTGATCCTTGGTCTGATATGGTCGCTCATTGTGAGGTACCAAATAGGCAAGTCCAAGTTCCCGCCAAGGAAACTCATGCTCGCATGGCTCAAGGTCAGTATACGTAATTGCACGGGGCGACCTTGCTGCACCGCGAGCGTAATCTCCGCGTGCAAATATAAGAAACACTCGAGCTGGATACACGTTTTACGGAATACATTAAATAATGGCGATCGAAGGGGTTACGCCATCTTGAAGGCGACGAAACAGAGAAACTTTCTGTGACAATTTGGGAACCATCAAACTTGGACAGTGTTATTATAATTGAATGTACAGTAGAACCTATGTTATCCTTGTTTATAGAGAGATAAAATTATTTGTAAATCATACGAATTTTTTTAGTTGTGTAATTGTTTGGAATTAGGGGGGGAGTCTCATGTGAATGATAGAAAATCGAACCATTTTTCTCAATTTTTTTTTAAGGAAATGTTACATCTGATGTTATGATTCTTTTTTGCAAGTTACTTAGCTATCCTTTGGGAGTACAAGATAATTTTTTTATTAATTTTTAGTAACTTTTAATGTTGTTATCACGTTCACAGTAACCATGTGTTTAAACACTGGCGTAGGTGATTGCAGCTCTCAGTATAATTGAGAAATAATTAATTTATGTTGAAAATTGACAAAATGGTGGAAGTTTAAAGTAAAAATTGCAAAATTTCGTCGTTTCTTTTGCAACTTTTTAATAAAAAATTGATAAAAATAAACTGATTATAAAAATTTGATTTTAGTAGATCCTCTTGATCCTGTCGTAAAACTTTCGAAACAGTAATGTCTGTCACAGACTTTTTAAAATTTATTTTTAAAATTGGCGTTAAATTAAAGTTTAATGTACCCTGAATTAATATACAAAAAATCATCGAGCTATTTTTTTTAAAACTGAATTCAAACTTGATAAACATTTAACATATATAATTGTTCTGAAAAAATTATTTTTGGTTGTTGGGGTCAATTACAATCATTTTTTATGAATAGACATACCCACGAATTCCTACCTATTTTCGAGAAAAAAATTCGAGAAGGTACGAAATTTTTCGACAAAATTTAAAAATTTCAAATCGTTCTGGAAAAATTATTTTTGGTTTCTAGGGTCAATTATAATCACTTTTGGTTAATAGATATACCCCTGAATTTCTAACCATTTTCGAGAAAAAAATTCGAGAAGGTGCGAAATTTTTTGACAAAATTAAAAAATTTCAAATCGTTCTGAAAAAATTATTTTTAGTTTCTGGGTCAATTACAATCATTTTTTATGAATAGACATACACCCGAATTCCAACCTATTTTCGAGAAAAAAATTCGAGAATGTACGAAATTTTTCGACAAAATTAAAAAATTTCAAATCGTTCTGAAAAAATTATTTTTGGTTTCTGGGGTCAATTATAATCACTTTTGGTCAATAGATATACCTCTGAATTTCTACCTATTTTCGAGAAAAAAATTCGAGAAGGTGCGAAATTTTTCGACGAAATTAAAAAATTTCAAATCGTTCTGAAAAAATTATTTTTGGTTTCTGGGGTCAATTATAATCACTTTTGGTCAATAGACGTACCCCCGAAATTCTACTCACTTACTAGAAAAAAATTAAAAAAAATCATCGAGGTATTCTTTTTTAAACTCAATTTAAAGTTGATAAACATTTACCATAAAAAATTGGGACCAATTGCTAATATTGTAAAAAGATTGTTTAACAGTTTGGAAGGTTCTATAATACTGTACATAACTTGCAAAAATCAAATTAAAAACACAAATTTTCGGTAAATGACACATGTTTAAGAAAATGCACCGAAAATTGCAATAAATTTCCTAACATCATTTCCAACAACACATTCTGAACATCCAAACTTGAACACTGTTATTACAATTTAACACTAGAACTATCGACAATTATAGTGTGTTTATTTGTATCAAAGAAATTGAAACCATAGTTACGCGAAGAAATATGTAATGCAATGGAAATAAGTGTTTATATACTCTCTTATAGAAAATTACGATAAATTTTCAAAAATTCAGTCGAGCAAATTTTTTACAAGTTTTATTAGAAATTACGAATGGGTCATTTTGACCCATTTTCTGGTTTGGTAGTTCCAGTGTTAATGTACAGTAGAACCTCCGTTATCCTCGTTTATAGAGAGATAAAATTATTATTCATAAATCACACAAATTTCTTTACTTATGTAACTGCTTGGAATTAAACTTAATTCTCTGCCTTTGGCTACCCCACGCAGTCCATTTTTATAATAGCATGCTTCGAAGATGAAGAGGTTTTTAAACACAGCGACCATAGGTTTCCCAATACGTTCTTGCCAATCTCATGGTACTTTCCAATTTATGAATTATTACTCCTAAAAATTGAAATCAAATATTCCTTTATTCTTCAGTCTTTCTAAAAATTGTTATTGGAAATAGATGGTGGAATAAAAAAGACAATTGGGACGATATAACTTTTAACTAAGCTTTATTAAAACACTTGGAAGGTACCTCTGCACGGTTTGAAAGAAACACACAGAATGAAAAGGTGAAAAATTCGTCCCGTACCCTCAGACTCAATTGATCCTATACTTTGTCTAAACGAGCCAAGAAAAAGACACAGTTGCACCCTCTTGACTTGTATCTCGAAACGCGAAACGCAACTTACGATTGTAAAATAAATAAATAAAAAAATAAATATAAAAAAAACCAACAATTGTAAAATAATCGTTGCTTGTTACATTTTTCAAATCTTCAAGCTGCTCGTGTTTCTGTTATTTCGAGGCGGTGTAACCCTTTGATCGTAACTTTCGTCGACGCTACGAAGCTCGTCTCACTGTTTCATCGCTATCTTTTACAGGCAGTCCTCCCGGAATGCAGAGTAAATAATTTCACGACGGACTGGAACTCCGGCGTGTACCTGAGCGCGTTGCTCGATTATTGCCAGCCTGGTCTGTTCACCCACTGGCGCCAGCTCGATCCCAACGATAGGTAAATCGAAAAATCGACGCGTCGTATATATCCAGCGACTGCACGAATCCGTACTCTTACGTTCGCAGCGTGTACAATTGCCGCAAAGCGATGGAGATCTCGAAGCGCGAATTCGACATACCCGTGGTATTGGAACCAGAGTACCTTGCGTCGCCATATTTGGACGAACTATCGGGAATGACCTACTTGTCGTACTTCATGAAGGAAGGTTCGCCGGGTTTCCATGCCACGCTACGATGGGTCAACTCTCAGTTATCTCACCACTCTGTGCAGAATTTCACGGTGAGTGGTGACCTTTGGGTTGCGTCGGGACGATAGTACCACGGACATTTTTCTCAGATGGAATCGATTCTTGCAGACCGATTGGAACGACGGCACAGTGCTGTGCAGCATCGTGAGGAATTTGGGTGGACCAGCCCCATCGTGCGACAAAATCAACGCAGATCCGTCCGCTTGGGAGCACAACATACAGATGGGTAAATAGAAACATCGTGATACGTTTCGAGAATAACGAGTTATTTATATGAGTTTGTCGCCGGGTGATGTAACGCCATCGTATTTTTCCCCGAAGGTATCGACGGCGGCAAGAAACTAGGCGTGGAGCCTATACTCAAGGCGAAAGACATGGCGGATCAGAACGTCGAACATTTGGGCGTGATGGCGTACGCGGCGTACTTTCAGTGGGTGAAGCCTCGCCCTCAAGCTAGCAAACAAATTGTTGTCCACATCGACAGCACTTCCGCCAGAGTGCAGCAACCGGTTAGTACGAATAATTGCGGCTGAAAAATGTGTACATCGGTTCCCTGAATTATTTCGACAGAGCCGTTGCTCAACTAGCGTCGCGGGTTCTTAACGGAACGTAAGAAGACAATAGAAAACAGGGTACGGATTGTAATTAGCAGTTAAGAGCGAAATGCTCGTCCATAGGTACGAATATCCCACGTTGGATAGTCCGTGGCGCATTTTCATTGAATGTTTTCGAACGAAATGAGGAGCCTTGTTGAAAATTATTTATAATGTATACAGGAGGTTCGGCTACCCCTTGGAAAATTTTAATGGGGGATTCTGGAGGTCAAAATAAGACGAAAATGAGGAATATCAATTTGTTGATGGAGGCTTCGTTAAAAAGTTATTGACAATTAAATTAAAGAATTTCGAATCGTTCTGGAAAAATTATTTTTGGTTGCGGGGGTCAATTACAAGCATTATTGGTCAATAGACAAACCCTCGAAATCCTATCCACTTTCGAGAAAAAAAATCGAGAAGATGTGAAATTTTTCGACGGGGGAAAAAAATTTCAAATCGTTTTGAAAAAATTCTTTTCGGTTCCGTGGGTCTATTATAATCATTTTTGGTCATTACACAAACCCTCGAAATCCTTCACACTTTCGAGAAAAAAATTCCTGATCGAAAATCTAACGTGAGCCCGGAAATGCACCCCCGAAATTTCATGCGAATCTTTAAAATGTCATAACTTCTGAACGGATTGGGGGATTTTAATGATTCAAAGGGCAAACAACGCGTATTTTGGCGAAGGATATGTAGAAATTCTAAAAATATTCGGAAAGTTGTTCCTTGACTCCGCAAAATGAGAAAAACCACATAAAAATGGGCCAATCTTCAAACAGCCATAACTCCTACAATAGTGAATATATTTCATTGAAATTTTGGGGGGACCTAGAGTTCATGGATACCTTCAAAAAAGTATTAAACAACTTTTCTGTACAGCGCCAATCAAATTTATTAAAAATGAAAAACGAAGTTTTAAGGAAAATTGACCAGGGGGTAGTGCTGAAATTTTTCGGCGAAAAAAAAAAATTCGAATCGTTCTGGAAAAAATATTTTCAGTTGCAGGAGTCAATTACAAGTATTATTGGTCAATAGACATACCCTCGAAATCCTACACATTTTCGAGAAAAAAATTCGAAAAGATATGAAATTCCTCGACAAAATTAAAAAATTTCAAATCGTTCTAAAAAAATTATTTTCGGCTGCGGGGGTCAATTACAAGCATTATTGGCCAATAGACATACCCTCGAATTCCTATCCACTTTCGAGAAAAAAATTCGTATATGTGGTGAGAGTTTCGGCGAAAAAAAAATTTTCAAATCGACCTAAAAAAATTATTTTCAGTCGCAGGGCTCCATTATAATCATTTTTGGTGAATAGACATACCCCAGAAATCCCACCCACTTTCTAGAAAAAAATTCGAGAAGCTGTAAAAATTTTCGACGGAAAAAAAAATTTCAAATCGTTCTGGAAAAATTATTTTCAATTGCGGGGGTCAATTACAATAATTTTTGGTGAATAGACACACCCCCGAAATCCTGCGCATTTTCGAGAAAAAAATTCAGTACTGGCGGAACTTTAAACGTTAATAACTTTTTAACGAAGCCTCCATCAATAAATTGATATTCCTCATTTTCGTCTTATTTTGGCCTCTAGAATATCCCATTACAATTTTTCCCAAGGGTTGTATAATTTAAACGTGTAAAACATTTCAAGGAACTATCCAATATTATGAAATAACGTTCAATTGTCCCTTATTTGTGTTTGTAGGCGCATTTCAAGTTAGAAATGCTTACCAAAGAAGTAAACACGAGGGAAGTACGCGGCGAAGTCGTAAGTCCCAGCGGACGAACCGAATGCAGGCTTACCTGGAACGGTGTTCACGGTAAAGGAACCTTCATACCTACGGAAGTTGGAATGCACAAGGTTCGTTTCTATCATTCTCAACTCATTCTATATTCATACTCCCTTAAACAACATACACGTAACTAATTTCCTCTGTATTTCAGTTAATGGTGTACAACGACGGAGAACTGGTAGATGGATGCCCCTACTATTTTCGAGTTTTACCTCCCCTGACCAAAATCAAATCGCCCGGTATGGATCCGTGCGCTATAGGATCCATCGTTGAGGTTCTAGTCAACAGTTACGGTAAATACAGCTCTGAACGATTGTTACTCTTCACCGCGTACGGTGCAACAACTATAAAAAATTCACTTTTTAGGAACTAGTCATGATGGCATTGATGTCACTGCATGGTCCCCGACCGGAAGATCTCTGTCGTGCCCTGTCAAAGAGAACGATGGTGTACACACCGCGACCTTTCAACCCGACGAGACAGGAGAATGGAGCATCGCGATAACTCATAAGGGGAACCATATACAAGGCGGACCATTCACATGCTTCGTATTCGACCCTAATGGAATAAAGGTAAACACTTCTAATTACAATTTATACTATTACTTCCCTGTTTAGATTGGAAACTTTCTCGCAAATAAATAAATCGAACGACGTTGTATGCAGTTATTGGACACGGATGGCGCTATGCCCGGGCAACCGTTTTCATTCATCGTCGACGCGACAGGAACTGGAGGCCTCGGCGACGTAATAATAGACTTGGTCCACGACAAGCAGTCTGTACTTTTCCGAATGGAGGATTTCGGACACATGCAATATCGGGTCTCGTTCGTTCCTACCGACGCTGGAAAGTACAGAGTGTACGTGTACTTCAATGGCTCCGACGTTCGAGGCTCCCCGTTCTCCATTCGCGTGGGAACACAGAAAGGATCGAGAAGATCGAGGGAATCGACGTCCAGCCTCGAGAGGTCCAAATTATCTTCCCTGGAGAGACGAATGAACGGCTTGAACGTATCGATCGGCGCTGATCGATCCAGCCCTGTTCAGAAGGTCTATTCCTCGTCCACTTACAAATCGTCCTCGAGCCCGACTCAACACGCTCGCGATTACTCGCCCGTGCACCAGAGCACCTCGACTTACAAGACATCGAACAATTATTCGGTGGAGAACTCCAGCTCGACGTACCACGCGTCAACCTCGTTCAATCGTACCCTATCACCGAATCACAGTCACAGTCCAGTCTCGCGGAACGTTCACAGTCCGTCCACGATCAAGGAAACGAAGGAGATCTATTCGAGCACCGCGTACAATCAGTCGAGGTCGCCGACCGTGCAAAGTCCAAGCCTCGTGAAAGAGTCGAAAGATATTTACACGACCAGTACGATCAACACGTCGCGTTCACCGAATCCGAGCCCTACTGCTCATGGTTCGAGATACTCCCCGATTATTAAAGAGTCCAGAGACATCTACAATTCTGGGTCGTTGAAGAGATCTCGATCACCGAATCGTAGTCCTATGACGTTCCGTAGTCCTACGCAAAGCCCTGTGAATCGAAGCTTCAGCCCGAGGAACAGCGACAACAGAAGAGGTTCCGTGGACAATGGAGCGGTGGACACCAGCAGCAACGTGAGAGTTTCGTCAATGGTCGGTGGTACCTCCCGACGAGACTCTTGGGACGCCATAGAGAAGACTAAATCCTTACTATCTTATGGCAGTTTGGAGTCTCTTGCTAACTTGACCAATAATTCACCCACTGCTGAAAACACTAGTAACCAAAGTTATTTAAATAACAATTACAAGAATGGTCACAGCTACAATTCAAGGAACACGTCCCAGACGCAAAGCAGCTCATCCAACTTTGTGTCCACGCAGAGGGTTTCTAGCTCTGATTACGGTGCATCCCAGAAATACAACAGCGACAATCATAATGCTCGTACGCAGACACACGGCATTCTTAAGAATAAAAATAACAATTATTACAAAAGCATGGACACCACCGACGGGGTGCACGATCGGTATCTTAATAATGGGGTTTCTGTTTACTCGTCGACGCAAGACAAGAATCACGGGCTCGTGACCGGAAGTGCGCTTGAAATGTTACCGATTCACAGGCCGACTACCTTCGCTATAGATCCAAACATAGATTCGAGCAAAGTTACCGTCAGTGTTTCTGGTGAGTTTCCTTGTTGTGCGAGGACAGTGTTTCTCAAACTGTAATTCCATTGGAAAGAAAGAACCAAGTAATAAATAATTATTTCCAAAAATAATAATTCTCACCTCACTAATATATATATATATTTTATTAGTAATTATAATTTTACTCTAGATACGATCTTTTGCTAAAAATTTTCTTTTATTGAGGGGTTTGTAAGAACGTGGAGTTTGAGAAACACTGTACGAGGATGTTTCAGAAAATATTACGCGTTTTGATCACTCCGCTTCCTAATTATTTTTAGACCATTTATCAAAATGAAATATACGTAATGATGCATCGTTGGAGTACTCTCTTTGTGCAGATTGCGAAACTATGTGCATTTATTTGTGATTTTATCCTGCGTTTGGTTTCTTTTAGAATGATTTGTGGAAAAGATCAAAGTCCTGATACTGTTGCTCCATTATTGAACACAAAGTTACTGGTCTGCAATTAAAACTGTAATTCGACCAGTTTGGACTTTGCTCGACTATCACCTTTTACTAGAAATGGCGTACTTTTTTGGTCAAGAAGTGATTCAATAATTTATTAATAGTTTATTACTGTTCCACTATTTTAATTATTTTGAAATGTGCAATATTTTCTGAGACTATATAAGAGTTTCCTGATTAAAAAAAGAAAAATATATTTTAGGTCCAAATGGAAAGCTAATTCCCGTTCAAAAATCGACCCTTCGAGGTCTAACGTACACGATAACCGCTGAAGAAGTTGGTGAACACATAATACAAATTTTAGTGAATGGCCAGCACGTTCAAGGGTCTCCATTCAGGTTTGTAAACTCTTTACGAACTCTTTACGATTCGAAATTTAACTTACATAATGTCTTCCAGATCGCAGGCGTACAATGCTCGATCGATCCAAATTGGGAACATTCCGAATGGCGTTGTAAATCAACCAGTAGAATTTGAAAGTGCGTATCGTAAATAAAACTTGATTGCAAAGTGGAGTACGTTTGCAGCAAATTTGTATCGTTGCACTGTGCAATGTTTGACTGTGTTTCCAGTCGATGGATCTAGAGCTGGATCCGGGAATCTCGAGATCCTCGTAAACGGCGGCCACGTGACGAGTTTTGTCAGAGCGTTGGGCAGCCAAAGATTTCTGGCATCATTTGTGCCCCACGAAGCTGTTGTACACCTCGTGGAGATGACATTCAATGGCGAAGTTGTCCCCGGTGAGTCATTTCTCACATTGCTATTCTTTACTTGACATAAAGTATAGTAAAAGGACTGATATTTCATTGTATTAACCGGGGACCATTTTCTAAGATACAGAAATTAAGTCTAGATGACATTCAATGGCGAAGTTGTCCCCGGTGAGTCATTTCTCACATTGCTATTCTTTACTTAATATAAAATATAGTTAAAGTACTGATATTTCATTGTATTAACCGGGGACCATTTTCTAAGATACAGAAATTAAGTCTAGATGACATTCAATGGCGAAGTAGCCCCGATGAGTCATTTCTCACATTGCTATATACTTAATTAATATAAAATTATAATAAAAGGACTGATATTTCATTGTATTAACCGGGGACCATTTTCTAAGATACAGAAATTAAGTCTAGATGACATTCAATGGCGAAGTAGTCCCCGGTGAGTCATTTCTCACATTGCTATTTACTTAATTATCATAAAATATAATAAAAGGACTGATATTACATTGTATTAACCGGGGACCATTTTCTAAGACACAGAAATTAAGTCTAGATGACATTCAATGGCGAAGTAGTCCCCGGTGAGTCATTTCTCACATTGCAATTCTTTACTTAACATAAAGTATAGTAAAAGGACTGATATTTAATTGTATTAACCGGGGACCATTTTCTAAGATACAGAAATTAAATCTACGAAGATTTGAACTGTAACGAAGATATCCATCGACGAATTTAAGATGAATTTTTCTACTAGTTTAACAAAGAATAGAAGATTTATTTATGACTGAATAATTATTGTTTTGTTTATTAATTTAATTTCTGTAACTTTGGTTGTAAACAATTTCCAAGTACCGTTCGTACTTCAATAACACTTCCACGTTTAAGAACAATGGATTAGAGAGAATATAGGGTGTTCCGGAGTGTTGACACAATAACGATTTCCCATACGGTCGGGAATCGAGCATTGTGTGTGCACGCGTGCAAATTCTTTCGCGGACGCGAGCATTCCGGCGGCATCGCCGTTAAGAAAGTAAAGAATTTGTCCTGAAAATCTCGATTGCGACACAATGCGTACGAGAATTTTAAAATGTCTGCACCACGGAAGGAGATCGAACGAAAACGTTGTATCTCCTCGTGCAACATTAATTATAATCAGCGTTTATGCTCGTCGAGCGACTTTCCTTTCAACCTGTCGCAGCAGATTGTTATTAACTGCGAAAGAAATTTCCTGGTGAAAGTTATGCACTTGTTCCATGCAGCTTCGTAAGTAAAATGACTGGTTAATGGTATCCTCTTAAAAAACACTCGTTTATTTTACGGAACAGGAATTCGAAAACTCCAACGTTGAAAAGAACAGGATGCAAATGTTATATAATTTTTCTGTTACTAATTTTTTGGTGTTGTTATTATTATTTTGAATACTTTAGAATTTTAGGCTCGAATTTTTGGGCTGGTTTATAATTTTGTTGGAAAATTCTATTCGGTTCGTTTATGCATATTTCTGACATTTTCGCCGTGTACAAGCACACTCGTACGTCTTCAGAGTCAACAGGTCATTGGTCAGGTCGTTGACTTGCGATTTCACGCATCCACGCGATGTTCCACTGACACATATACGACGTCATCGTTTTCTTTACCTTCCTGAATTTTTTCCTTTCGTTTACCTATCGAAGCACAATGCACGCTGTGCCATTTAAGCAATACCATTAACCCATTGCGGATGGGTGTCAGGATATACCGAACAACATACTTTTACCGCTTCGTACGTGCGTCGGGAAAATCTCAACAATGTCGTCGCCGCGAAACAAGAATTTATTACCCTAACCATTCATCGAATTAATAATATTTAGGCCTGTCTAACATCTGTACGCGAGGCATTGTATATTTTTGCATTGTAATATCATTCGTCGTGTTTCAAAAAAGTGTTTAAAAAATTAGGGGGCCATTTTACCTTTCTTTGTGATTTTTTTCTGCGGGCTATTAAAGAGCAATTAATTCTGGATTTTGTAGGTATATTTGTTATATATTTAACTGTATTTACGAATTTTTTCAACGCATAATATTTATTGATTATGCTGTTTTTATTGATCAACAAACAACAGTTATCCGAAATCCAAAAATCAACGATATTTTTAATATAAATGAGTGTGGTTATAGCATAAAGTAGGATCTTAAAAAAAAAAAACAAAAAATGACAAATTGAGAGCTATTTTACGAAAAAATACTGAATATTTTCGTATATTCGGCTGCTTTTTTGCTAATAAAATATAACTTCGTTAGTTTTTCAAATTTCAATTTAATAGTTGGTAGACATATTTTCGAGACTCCATACTAAAAGACAATGCAAAAAAAATTCGATTTTTTAAATCCTACAAAGTAGAAAGGCCTTTTAATTAAGGGGCCATTCTACCTCGTAGGCACGAAAAATACGTGTTTCTTTATGATTTTTTTTTTGTGGGCTATCAAAGAGCTATTAATTCCAGGTTTTGTAGATACATTTATCATATATTTAGCTATATTTACGAATTTTTGCAACGCATAATATCTATTGATTACGCTGTTTTTGTTGATCAACGAACAACAGTTTTTATGAATGGTTGTGTATGTGATACCTCGCAAACAAGTTATCCGAAATCCAAAAACCAACGATATTCTTAATACAGATGAGCGTGGTTATAGCATGAACTAGGATCTTTTCAAAAAAACAAAAAATAGCAAAATGGTAGCTATTTCACGATAAAATATTGAATATTTTCATATATTCGGCTGCTTTTTTGTTAATAAAAGAAAAAGTACTGCATATATCGCAACTATCCTAGTTCATGCTATAGGGAGATCAGTTCTAAAAATACTATATAAATTTCATGTTGATATTTTTAATAGTTTTTTCGTTAAAAATGTAGTTTCCAGAAAAACAGCTTTAAAGTTTTAGGTCCAGTTATACCTGCGCGTGGTACATTTCAGCAGGCTATAACTTCGTTAGTTTTTCAAATTTCAATTTAATACTTGGTAGACATATTGTCGAGACTCCATACTAAAAGACAATGCAAAAAAAAATCCAATCTTTTTAACCCCACAAAGGAGAGAAGCAACTCAAGTTTTACGCCCAGTTATACATATATCCCTACGCGTGGTACATTTCAGCAGGCTATAACTTCGTTAGTTTTTCAAATTTCAATTTGATATTTGGTAGACATATTTTCGAGACTATATACTAAAAGACAATGCAAAAAAAAATCCAATTTTTTAAATCCTACAAAGTAGAAAGGGCCCCTTAAGTTTTCAAAGCTGAGCTCCGTCTAACAAATAATTTTTCAATTTCGAAATAGTTTCACTTCTAAGTTATCGACAACATTAAGCGTATCAACCGTGGCTGAAATTCAGTGACGATCGTTACGAGACGTCAGCACGTGCAGTTACGTGGATTACGTTTACATTAACGTGGGCTGGGGACCGACTATCCTCATTCGCGACCAAATACGTCTAGCGAGCATACTTCGTTACCGTGGCCACACCTACGGTTCCCTATGATACTCCTTTTCGGTTGGTAATGCACGAACTTGGGCCGTTAAATGCCGCTGGACGAAGAGAAGCATCGAACCGTGACACAGTTCGATACTCGAGACAATTGAAATCGCAAGAGTTCAATTTTCCAAACAGCGAACGAGAGAAAAATTGTCAGCCATCCTGGAAAGTTGAGCATTTTGTAGTTTCACGAGTGTCAACGAACTTGTACGCGCCGAGTTTCTACGTACCGACCTTGAGCGTCGTTGGTGGCTCACATTAAAACAGAGACTACGTATATTTCCTCGCGAGAGGCCGTAACGGAGTTAGGAACGCTTTGATACGCTAATACTGGCAGTGATTCGTAGCTGGAATGGGGCACCGACGAACGTCTCCGCGGTATTGTAGGCCACGTGCGAACGCGTGGTCAGGATTGCAGAATGCACTTCTCTACATGGCATCTAAATAATATTCCTTGTCCGTGGGCAGTGGCGTAGCGTGGATAGTTTTACTTTCGCCCTGGGATCAGTTGCTCTTCGCGAATAATGCAATCAAGATCGCTCGATTCGAACAATAATTGTAAGATCGCTTCAGCGTCTGCGCAGAACTAAGTTCTACGTCTCGCGACAGAAATTCCACGCTAGTCGCTGATTGCTAAAAAAAAATACAGTTTACTCCGTTTTACGTGCGAGTACGTTTCTTGTCGACAAAGTGTTGAGCAACCAAGATTTCCTATTCCTCGCGTACGTATCGTAACAGCGATCCGTATAATTGCAATCCCGTTTTTGTGCGGTCGTATGCAAGATCGAGCACGCATCGGACCGTTATTATTTATCGAGGAGGAAATGTTTGCGGTTGTTTGGTTCCCGGTGCCACCCCGTAGAACAACACACACCGGGCTCAGCGACACGTGGAAATTCCACGGTGGAACGCGTTCTTACGCGTTCCTTACGCGTTATCGTCAATTTCTCTGTTCCGTTTCGGCTCGTTCCTTTTTCTCCGGACTGTCTTCGTATCGTACGGAATCTCCGGAGCTAATCTAATTTATTTGTATAAATTATTCATAATTCACAGCGACCTGTGTAACATTTCAACGGATAGTCTTAGCGCTAAAAATACAGGTAGAATATTTTATCTCGGCGTGACGTTATTTGCATGGCATCGGCAAATGACACGATTTCTTGTCGCCTGGAAACGTGTTTGCAGCGTTGCAAAATTTAAGCCAACCTTGCCAGCTAATCGCCTTGCCTTTTGGGTAATTAACGCTAGATTTACGGGTATTAATCGCACGTATATTTATCGATACCTTTCGTGTTGACGATTACCTCAAAATTCGATTTTTCTTTCAATTAGAATATATGTATTCTTGCCATTGCATCGATCGAATTCAACAGAAGTTGTTAAAAAATAATATTTACGCGTTCTGCAATTTTAAATATGGAATCAGTTAATCGAGTACAATTTTTACACGTTTCCTGCGCTGGAACGTTCTATCTAGGTTTCATTGCAAAGTTTTGCGTTAAGAAACAATGGCTAGATTTTAAAAATTTAGTTAAGAAAGGCACAGATGATAAATGGAAATCGTTAAGGAGGGCAGTGTTACGCCCAAGTTACCTCGAATGGATCACCATCGATAGTAATGCGAAATACGTCGATGAAATCATCACGATGATAACGAGGATCGTTTGAATATTAATAAACTGTACGCGTGTGGATGCTACACGGTCGAGGCTCACACGAGTAAACATTCTGCTGAACCACGATGGGCAAATCACCGTGACCGCTCGATAAGAATACACATTAGCTATGAAAGTTCCGATTATGTGCTAATTAGACGGGCGGGGAATTAAACGCATCTGCTCGCAAGGTAAAAATCACGCGTCCCGTGTTTACGTAACGCGGCTGGGTTTCGGTGACTTCAACGCCTCGCGCCTGCAACAGCGATGTTGATCTGCCTGGCGCGATGGAAATACGCACGGAAATAACGTTACGAACCAATCTGAATAACAGATAACTCTCCGTACGACAAACGGGTCGAATTCGCGCGGATAAAAATTTCGAATAATGAATAAAACATAAATAATTTTTGCGTTCGTTGCTCGTGGAAGAAAAATTACTGTTTCGATTATAAAATTAAGTGTCTCACGTAGCTGATTGTCTCTCTATATTTTAAATTTTACGAGAACATCATTATTCATTGCCTCTGTCTGATAAATAATTTTGCGTTCGTGGAATAAAAATTACTAAAAATTATTTAGTAAAACAAAAATTCAACGAAGAAGAGGATTCAACATAAGCTACAAAATTCACTAATTATCCTACGAGAAATAGACTCATGTAAAAAAGTTTTAAACTTATTAAAAGACATTAAAGTATACCAATTGCTCTAAATATGATCAGCTCCACTAAAACGCTAAAAAAAAAAAACAAAAAAAATTACAGTTTTAATTATAAAATTAAATATCTAACGTAGCTGATTCTCTTTCTATATTTTAAATTTCCATGAAAATATCTAAAAAAAAAATTATTCATTATTCGAGTAAAATGTTTGCTTGCCTCTGATAAATAATTTTGAGTTCGTTGCTCGTGGAATAAAAATTACAGTTTCAATTACAAAATTAAATATCTTACGTAGCTGATTCTCTTTCTATATTTTAAATTTCCATGAGAACATTTAAAAAAAAATTGTGCATTATTCGAGTAAAATGTTTGCTTGACTCTGATAAATAATTTTGCGTTCATGGAATAAAAATTACAGTTTCGATTATAAAATTAAATATCTTATGTAGCTGATTTTTTTTATATTTTAAATTTCCATGAAAATATCTAAAAAAAAATTATGCATTATTCGAGCAAAATGTTTGCTTGTGTCTGTCTGATAATTACATTCATTACTCGTGAAATAAAAATTACAGTTTCAATTATAAAATTAAATATCATACATAGCTGATTGTCTTTCTATATTTTAAATTTCCATGAGAATATCTAAAAAAAAATTATCCATTATTCCAGTAAAATGTTTGCTCTATCGAGTAGCTGTGAACATCGAAGAAATTTGAATATCTATTTAAAAAAAAATTCGTCATTCGTTCGAAACGTTTTGAGTCCCGGGACATGAAATAATCGAATATTATGCAATATTAATAGCAGCGCCAATAAAGGCCAGACTTGCGGAGTGAATCACTGTTGGTCGATGAAAACAATGCGGTAGTCGTGCACGTATTGGATTCAATTGATTCCGATTTGTTCTCGCATAAACGGTGTCCCGTTCGTAACGATCCGCCGCGCATTGGAATCGTGATTTACTCACGCGAGGCGTAATCTACCGTCATTCGTATTTTTGGAAATCGTGACACGGTTAAACGCGTTTGGTCGTCCGGTGGAAGCTTTTCGAAAATTTTGGAACGAGTTTCCTTCCGTATGACCCGTTATGTCGGGGAATGCAGCGACTCGCGTGCCACACTCTCTTCAACGTAACTCCTGCTGTTAAGAATGTAGCGCAAAGCGATTCGGAATGAAAAAAACGGGCCCAAAGATATCAATGGCGCGAACCAACATCCGTAAAAACCGTTACATGTATTCTCGAAACGATTGGAATTCCCATTCGAGTCTTATTAAATTTCTTTTTTTTTATTGAGTAAAAGTGTTAATTTTTTTAATTTTTTCGCAACTAAATGTCACGACGTACGTTCAACAGAGACTAGGAAAACGCAACGCGTTGCAAAATACACGGTGGAATTAATTTCGTAATAATGGCCACGGAGACGAGACGGTGCTTTGCTCTCGTAAGAGCGCAATTCACCGTCCTTATCGTCCTAATTATTCACTCTGCAATTAGTTATGCGTAATACGTTTATTGAAGTCTGTGGTCGGGGGCAGAATTGGGCAAAATTTCGCGGGAAACGTAACGAAAACAAAATCGAGCTCGTGGCTACGGTGATCCAGAGAGTCAGCTTCTCGATATTTCGAAGCTGGTACCGCGCCAACGATGGACACCAATGAGGTTTGCACTTTGCAGTTTGAGCGACTGATTACGTGGATCGGGACGGTCGATCCTCTTTTAATCGCGCTAATTATCAATCGTACATTATCATTAAAGAGCTACGTGTACCGATTAAAAAAAAATCCATCGTCACAGGGAACGAACATCTCCAAACGGAATTACGAGGCACGAACATCGTTTGGAATTGTAACACGTGAACGGAGACACATTTCTCGTATTTTCTAAACAGAGCCGTACGTTGCATACGTCCACGTTCCACGTTTTGAAATTCGTTTCGCGTAGAGTGGATCGTACCGCGTCGCGTAGAAACTCGATTATTAAGTCGAATCGCGATGCATAGAAGATTTGCACTCCTCTGACCCGATGCTTCTCGATGGATATTAATCATCGACGCTGGCCCGTGGAATATCGCGGTTCTTTCCTCGTCTGTCTCGAAAAGTAGATCCGTGTTGAGTGCAAACAGCGAGGTTTCTATTTGCGGCCGACCTTAAGGTATCGAAATACGCAGATCAGGTATCCTGTAAACGTATAGGTATAGACTGTAGCTGGTCGAAGCAAGAAACGAATGGGAGAAGCATGAGCGTACCATACCCCGTCAAAGCCCTGATCCAATTTCTTTATTACGGATTTAAATGTAAAAGAATAAAACAAATCACCTTCCAATGACCAATAACCGGTATCTTTTAAATCCGGATAAAGAATCACTTACAACCTTGAAGAACAGACAACTTGATATTTGCTCTGTACATTCACCATTAACAGTATTTGAACGTATACAATTACTTGGACTTTGTACGCCAGTGTTCTTCCTAATTTGTTAAAACGCCTCAACCTTTTGTTTGAAAACCTAAAAATAGAAGACTGAGTAATCAGGAATACAAAAGATGAAAGAACTTACTTGCTATGACACAGTTGTCGAATTAGAAAAAAAAAGAAATCAATGTGGTGCAGACCTCCTCTTTTTAGTGACTTGATGTAGCAATATTTAAAAATCGTATCTGTAATTAAAAAATAAAAATTGATCAGGAAATAAAATTGTTGAGTGTACACCAAGAAATGGACGGCCCTGGTTTTGGGCCTGAGCGGCAATCCAGTGGCAGCCACACTCGTCCCGTCGCTCGACTCGTTCGAGTCTGTCGTGAATCGCGATCTGCTGACGTTTCCTTGTCGCGAAACCGAAGCCACGATAATCTGTCGGGTTTTTTTTTCGAACGTTCGGGGATCCATCCTAGCGTTGTCACGAATTTCTGCCATCGTGTCGCGATAATTGTGTCAGAATGGATCTGAACGAGAATCGTTCGCGTTCAACGTACGTCGAGGAGCGTCGAATAACGAACGTCGAATCGGTTCGCCGCGTGCGACTGTGAAAACTTGATACTCGCACGTACTTATGGCCGAGATCGAAGTGTGTTCCGTGAACGAGTTTTATTATTGATCGATAGATTCCGTTCGCGCGTTTCGTTCACTGTCGCGATCGACGCCCCGTAGGCTGTCCGTAATTTAATTAAGTTCAACATTTTTTTCGTTTAAGGTTTTTCAGCGTTTTTCAGGTTTCGTGGTCTGAAAAGTAAAGGTGATCGAGGTAATTACCCGTTTTCTTCGAATACACGCGCGATCGCGCGATTGTCAGGCTATACTTCTGTCCAATGTGTTCGGAGAAACTTGCTTCCGTGCATTTTCCCGCGGTACTTACGAAGGCTATTTTCTTCTGTGATACGCGCGTGCCCTTATGCCAGATAGAAAGGTTAGGTGACATCTGATTGGAGTCACGTTGCACTTCCGGGAAATTGAAATTTGATTCAAAATCTAGCGACCACAAACAGATTGATTACATTTATTGTTTTCTCGAGACAATTGTTGAGAAAGTATACCATATTTAAATATTGTACATTAAATGTACTTTTATAATGTAACAGTGTTCTTATGTACAGATATTGAATTAAGAAGTTCCTGTACACATTATATATTTCATGACTTTTCACTATAATATGTAATACATACATTTGTTCATATAATTGAAGTGTTACAAAATTATTAAAGTAATTTATGAAATCAATAGGATCACCGTGGAGAGTGGGCATCATGCCAGCCCCAAAAATGTCAGTAATTGGGGACTCCATAAGATTGGTCCCTGCCGGTAGTCCTGCACTGTTCGAACTTTCCGCTCTTGGCTTTAACAGCAATGAAATTGACGTCCAAATTATAAGTAAGTATACCACGCAACAGGTATACGATACAACAACTTAAGTATCCTCTTCTTGTCGCAGCACCGTAAACATTCTGACACAAAATGCAATGATTAATTTCAGCGCCTTCTAAAAGACACATACCAGCAAGAATTGACGAAGAACCGGGACGCTCTGGAGAATTTAGAGTTGAATTTACTCCGACAGAAGTGGGCAGTCATCTTGTGGAAGTGAGCATCGCGGGACAAAAGCTACCGGCAGGACCTCTTGTCGCCAAGGTGTACAATAGCAGTTTAATTCAAGTTACCGATGTACCCAGTGCTGTTGTAGGACATGCCTGCCAATTTAGAGGTAATTAAAGATGGTTCGCTCTAAATAAATAAAAGGGTAATTATTTACATTAGAGAATATGTTCCTAAGTGTTCCAAGAACTTGGTGGGGTTCCTAATGTAAATAATAATCAATAAAAATAACGAATATAAATGTATGCTTCAATTTCTTGGAATGTTCACAGTCGATGCTAGTGCTGCTGGCGAAGGACAGCTTGAAATCTCAATAAACGAAGGAGAGGTACCCAATCACGTTCAAGTAGTAGGAGGCGGACGTTGTCTTGTCTCTTTCACGCCTGAAATTGCTAAACCACACTACATAGATATAAAGTTCAACGGAGAAGCAGTAAAAGGATGCCCCTTTATTTGCAACGTTTCCGACACAAGCAGAGTAACGTTAAGTTTAAATCATCTGGAATTAATTCCAGTCGATCAGCCTGCTAGCTTTCACATGGGAGTTGATGGTAGCGGTAGCGCGGAGCTCGCAGTTTCTGTACGAGGTTGGTATCAATGAATGTGTAGCCTAAGTACGAAACCATCTCGCAATAACGAAATGCGTATTTTTCTAAGGACCAAACAACGAATTGCCCGTTAAAGTAACGGGCGATATAAAGAGTGGTTTCACGGCAGAATTCATTCCAAGAGACGTTGGCATTCATTCGATCAGCGTCGAGTATAATGGGCATCCTGTGAATGGCACACCGTTCTTAGCTAAGGCGTTCAACGCGGACAAAGTGTTAATCGGTCCTGTAGCTAGGGGTAGTGTTGGCCAGCCAACACACTTCTCCGGTATGTTAAAAACGAAAGTAGGCTGAAATGTCTCGGATTGTTCGTTGGTGCAATAACGTTAAAGTCTTTGTTGATAGTCGACGCGAGTCAAGCTGGCGAAGGAAATTTAGAAATCACGATATCGGCACGTAGCCAGAATATACCTACTCAAGTGACGCCACAGGGGAACGCACGATTTTCGGTCAGCTTCGTACCATTCGAGGCGTGCGAGCACATAATTAATATCGCCTTTAACAAACGAACCGTGCCAGGCTGTCCGATCGTGACTCGGGTAGGTGGTGATAGTCATGTAACAGTGAGTGGGCAGGCATTAAGCAGTGCTGGATTAGGAAGGCAAAGCTATCTTACAGTCAGTAACGTTGCCGGTAGCTTGGAGGATTTAGAAGTAAACGTTGAAGGTAAGTCGATTTTTTCTAATTTATTCCAATTATTATTGACATTTTGTTTTACTTTAGATACACAGTTGATATGTATATGCCGCATGAGTACCATTCGATTAAAAGTTGTACCCTTGTTGTTATTGCACAAAAATCATTATCTTCACAGCGACATCATACTCTCTATGTTTGATATCCCTTTAAATCTAACGTTCCAACTAAATGTTACATGATTTTTGCAACTTATGCACAACGGTCCCGCCGACGACCGAAAGTATTATACGAGCACCTTCTATGTTTCGTTTACCACCTTCGTGTTAATTTCTCTCGATCGTTGTCTTGTTTGTTTGTGATAATTCGTTCGGTACATTTTTCTGTTAATTATGGTGAAAACTTGCACGAAGTTGTGCCTCTGTGTGTTTGACTGTCTCGTTAATCTCTGGCTTGAGAGCAATTCTCTCTCTGTTGCAGGTCGGCCAGCTTTCAGACTACGACATTACTAGACTTCTCAAACAAAACTAATCTCATTTTTTTTACCTTAATAACGGAGTACTTTTAAATAAATTGGTGGTGGGTTTTTTTTAACTTGACCTTCTAAAAAGTGTTGCATAAGGATAGTTTTTTTTCTCATGCTCTTCTCTTGTGTTTTAATCGTTGGTTACCATTTTAGAGTATTATATGGGATTCGGTTCCACAATCGCAAATAATTGCTAAAACAGTGACTAACGCTTTGCAATTTTCATTTCAATTGCTGAACCATACATATATACTCATGTATATTTCACATGACAGCCATTTTATGGTGCTATATTATATAATTACTATTAATTCAACTTTAACGTTTAAGTATTATGGCACAATGGTTCAAAGTTTGAGTTTGAAACTTTGCACAGTGCTTTCATCCAATGTGCCAACATTTATCAATTATTTAGATAGTCCATACTTAGTTAAGCGAATCAACAATGCAATCAACAAATCGATCCCTCGTTTCTATCGGAAGTGGTCTCCCCCTCCGACTCTCCGGGCCTCGAAATATTTTGCTTGCATTGTTCCTTCCATATAATTCCATCTTTGCGATAACATGCAAGATATAGTATTAACCAAGCATTAATCAAATTAAATTAATTTCTAGATCAATTACGTTTACATTCATGCATCCGCAGCCGTTACTTGATCATAACAACTTATACATCGCTTTTTTCTAATAAGATCGCTTGTTCCCGATTAAAAACTGTTAACATTAAGAAAAGAACTTGTTGGACGCGCATAAATCCCCATCGTCTACTTTTGGTGTCCATCCGATCCACCCTAGTAGTTGGCTGACTAAATTGTATTAAACGACTAACCGGCGGACTTGATAGGACCCAATGGACAGGCTGTACCCGCTCAAGTGACTGACAACAAAGACACGACCTGCAGCGTGGCATTTACGCCGAGAGTAGTCGGGGAGCATAGAATTTCGGTAAGCCATCGGAATGTTGCCGTGGTTGGCAGTCCATTTAGCTGCAAAGTGTATGACGTGACTGCCATCAAAGTAAAGGATGCTAAACACGGTGTAATAGGAATGCCTGTAACTTTCTTAGGTACTGCTTTCGTTCGTGGTATACTTTGTGCCGTATGAAACGCGTATCGAGAAGCACGTGTTCCATTCTCCATTTTTCGTTCGTTTTTTTACTTTTAGTTGAAACTAGTCAAGCAGGACCGGGAAACTTGGAAGTGACTGTAAATGGTGGCCGTGTGCCCACGTCCGCTCAAGCACAGGGCCCGCACACGTACGCGATATCGTTTACACCTCGAGAGCCAATTGTACATACCGTGGACTTACGATTTAATGGGGAGGATGTACCTGGTAGTCCTTTCAGCTGTCAGGTACGATATTGTTACGTTTATTAAGTGCTTAAATGGGTGCATAATTTTTTAAAATGATGAAAATTGTTTTGTAATGAAAACTGTGATTAACTGGTCATCGACGTGATTAACTACTGGTTTAGTGAGGCTTTAATGTGTATAAATACGTATTATGTGATAGCGCTGTTGTTTTTGCTGGTGAAAATTAGGTTAGTGACACGGCAAAGGTAATAATAACCGAGGGACTCGAGAAAGTGTCTGTGAATCGCCTGACAACGTTCGCGATAGAAGCAGATCCTTCCTTAGGGACACCTATAGTGGAAGTTCTTTCGCCCACTAGAGAAAGTTTATCGGTTCATGTTAAACAGAACGGGCATGGAAGTTACACCGCAGGTTTCACCCCAAAAGATGTTGGTACGTAACTCAATGCATAGCAACAGAGAGTCGTAGAAACTTTAAAGAAACATGTGTGAAATTTATAGGCGACCATAGCGTTGAAGTGAAATTAAGTGGATCGCACGTGGAGGGTAGCCCATTTTTAGTAAAAGCTTACAATGCGGATAAAGTAAAGGTGACAGATATAAATAGCGGCGTAGTTGGAAAACCAGTTTTCTTCAGTAGTAAGTCAATGGTTTCTACTTAGTTACACAATACATCTATGGTATAATTCATTTGTATATCTTCTTTGAATCTCAGTTAATGCTAGCCAAGCAGGTGCTGGTAATCTTGAGATCATCGTTGCTGTAAATGGTAAAAACGTACCAAATTATGTACAAAGCGAAGGGAATGCAAAGTTCAGAGTAAATTTCAAGCCTCAAGAAGCTGCTGTGCACAGTCTCAGCGTTCGTTTCAACGGAGAACCTGTTCCGGGTTCGCCGTTTAGCTGTAAAGTAGTCGGCGCGGGGCAAGCAGCAATCATAGGTCATCATTTAAAAATGGGAGCCGTGAAGCAGCTGATTTCCTTCACGGTAGATCCACAAGCTCCTTCGACGAATTGCGACGTGATCGTAATGCCGCCATCTAGTATATCGCTCCCTATTACGATAGAACCCATAGATGGAAAATATAACATCAGTTTTGTGCCTATGGAGGTAGGCAGACATAACATCAGCGTGTTAGTGGACAATGAACATGTGAAAGGATCTCCGTACGCTTGCAATATTTATGATGTCACGAAGGTAAATTAAATAAGTACGATTTTATCCAATTTTTGATAGCACATTTTAATAAAATTGTATACAGGTTCACGTGTCGGGTCTTACGGAAGCGTTGTTGGGCCAAGCAACAACTTTTACAGTCGATGCTGCAGAAGCTGGTGAAGGAACGTTGGAATTGGTAGTGAGCACGGAAAATAACACCGTTAAAGCTGAAGTAGTCGCCTGTGCTCGTGGATTGTACGACGTAACGTTCGTTCCACAGACTACTAGCACCCATTATGTTAATATTAGTTTCAACGATGACAATGTACCAGGTAACTTAACATTTCCTCCTGTAATGGTTACTAATAAATATTCAGTAAATCAGTAACATTCTTATGCATTAGGGAGTCCATTTAAATGTCCTGTAGTCAGTACTATGTTAGACGGACCATCTATGATTCGAGTTGGCAATACAGCTTACATGGATTTAGAAATGCCAGGATTGGAAGGTCCCGTATCTGCGGAAGTTACAGGTAAAGTTTCTATTAAAATATTATCTTCTTTTTTTATGTAAATTATATTGTAATTTTAATTGAATGTTCGATCAGGGCCCGATGGTATAATTATCCCATGCACTTTGACGAAATTATCGTCCAATTTGTATCGAGTAGAAATCCGAACGCGACAGGTTGGAACTTACAGCGTAATTTTCAGCGACGGTCACAAAATGATAAGTTCCCAAACACTCCAAGCTTTCGATCCTGGGAAAGTTACGATCAAAGAGGTATCAGACGTAGTTTGCCATCGACCTGGAAGTATTATAGGTACGGTATATACTTTTGTATTGAACGTACGTTCGAATGGAAATTATAAAATCTGTTTTACAGTGGTTGCATCGAAGGAAGCCGGGCCTGGAAAACTGGCAGTGAATGTGCGCGCTGCTGGAGCCGACGTCGATAGCGTGGTCAGGGAAGGAGACAATGGTCTTTATGAAATAATTTTTCATCCAACACGAGCAGCTCCTCATAGAGTCCACATGAAGTACAACGAAGTTCACATTTCGGGTATAATATTCGTCTGCCTATTTTAGATTTATTTTTTTCACGGTTCATCTGTTTGTTACTAGTTGTATTATTTTATTTTTAGGCAGTCCATTAGACGTAACTGTTCGCAGCCCTACTGGGGGACGGGAAGTAACTGCCACGGGTTTAGGGTTATATCAATCGTGTGTCGGGAAAGTGACCTCGTTCACCATCGAAACATTAGGTCGCCCTGGTAAAGAATTTGACGTCGTGATCAGCGGACCACAAGGCAACGCGGTTCCAGTTCGATGTTACCAACATCGAGATGGAAATTTGCTCGCTGAATTTACAACAAACACTATTGGTGAGTTGTTTGGATCAATTTAATATTCCTAACAATATTGTGTTTGATAAAAAAATGTTTCATTTCATCAGGAACATACAAGATCGATGTTCTGCATGGTGCGAAACCCGTGCTGGGTTCACCTTTTTTCTGTCAAGCTTTCGACGTCTCCAAAGTGAAATTGCAAGAATTGGGTCCGATGACCGTGTCTGTACACGATCATATCGCATTTAAAAGTACGTGTGTTGAATATGCGTGCATGCGTCAATTGAACAAGTTAATTATGACAATAAACTCTTGTAGTAATGAAGACAGATGCTGGAATGGCGGATCTGGATGTAACAGCAACAAGTCCACTGGGTCAGGAACTTCCGTTACAAGTTACTCCGCTCAACGATGGAGCTGAGATGGTGGAATTCTCTCCTAGCGTACCCGGTACTTATATGATGAACATCACATATGGTAAGACCCTACTACAAGGGGGATAGATTGGTCTAGAATTTAATCCATTCTGATTATAAAAATGTCATAATCGTGCACATAGGAGGATGTCCCATACCCGGTAGTCCAGTAGTGTGCACGGTGGATGCAGCTGGGCAAGCTCGTGCAAAGGGAGAAGGTTTGCTAAGCGGTCATGTAGATAAGGCAGCACATTTTATCGTCACTGGCACAAGAAGTCCTCCGGCGGTCCAGGTAAATACATTACGATTTCTGTTCAGAAGTACTCATCTGTATGCAACTGCTTTTAAATGCATTTTGCATTCTTTGATAGGTGGATGGTCCGGACAGTGTTTCGAAAGCGATCATCGAAGCTGGGGCCAATCCGGGTACTTGGAACGTGTCTTACGTTCCATCCGAGGTTGGCGTGTTCGATATCAGAGTTGTCTCGGCTGGACAACAGCTTCCTGGATCTCCCTGGCATCCGAAAATCATCGATACACGAAATCTTCGCGTGATCGGTAAGTAATAAAATAAATTAGAATACTTTTCGTCACATCAAAAATTATTTGATGTAATTTAAGGTGGTTGGCCAGCTGTATGCGACGATATTGGAAGGTTGAAGTTACACCCAACGAATAAAATCAGTTTCGACACTGCTGATGCAGGACCGGGTGAACTCACTGGGAAAATAGGCGATCAGCCGTTATCTTTCGAAATGACTTCCAACAATAGACTGAAGCTCATTCCGCCGCATATCAACGGTGGAGAGCACCGCTTAGAAATATTATTCAATGGGACATCATTCCCAGGAGCCCCAAAGCTAGCAATAGTTCAAGATTTAGAGGTATTTAACTAAAGCAGTAAGTATCTGTTACAACGATTAAGTTTTCTTTCTAATATCTAGCCACCAGTACAAGACACGAGTCGAGTATTATTAAGAGGAAGAGGATTAACATCTGCCAAGTGCGGAGAAGAAGTCAGTTTCACAATAGACGGCTCTCAAGCTGGCAACGGAACGCCCAAAGTCCAACTTTTTTCACCAACTAATGAGCTCAACGTAATGTTACAACATTTAGGTGAGCAACTCGCGACAGTTTCGACGGTCACAATTTTGTTTTATTTATTGCAAGTGGGGGACTGAATTAATTTTGCCTTCAGGGGACAGTGTCTATCGTGCAAGTTACATACCGCTGACCCCGGACCCCCTTTTAATGACCGTCTCGTGGAACGGAAGACAACTGAAAGGGTGCCCCTTGCAAATAAACGTAACGAGCGCGGCAGACGCTTCGCGAGTTATTTGCTCGGGGGATGGACTGAAAAACGGTATAGTTGGACAGGAAATAAGAAGTTTCATCGACACGAGACGCGCGGGACCTGGTGAATGTCTTATACTCGAAACTGTAACTCGTCAAGCGTTCGTGTATTTCAAACAAATATTTTTGTTACATTCAGGCGAGCTTACGGCGCACTGCGTCGGACCTCACAAAGTGGCTTACTGCGAATTGTACGATCACGGCGATGCTACTTTCACGCTAAACGTGAAACCTCAGGAGGCCGGACGTCATGCGTTGACGATCAAGTATGCTGGAGAACATGTTCCGGGTTCGCCTTTCACGTTGCGTGTTTCCGGTGCCCCGGATGCCTCCAAGGTAATTTGGAATTTCTCACGAGTTAGGTTCAAAGCTTCGAGCATTCCAACACTTTATCTACCGGTAGAGGTTGCCATTCGGTAAGGACCGGTTTAGTTGTATAACTAACAAACTTAACAGTAAATCTCATTGGACGAAAACCTATTAACCCTTTGCACTCCGAATTATATTTGAATTTTGTTACCAGCAGCTTCCAACGCTTTTAAGTGTTTTATTTGAAATTAACGTTAGCTAAAAAGTAGGGCAAATTTAAACAAATAGAGGGACAAACAAATTCAATTAAATATCTGTTTTATTTATTAATTTTCAAGTGTATGATATCTCCGTGGTTTGGACTTGAAAAAACGTCGAGTACAACATAGGTGTGCAAAGGGTTAATGGGCCTATCGGTAGATAAAAATTTGCAATCGAAAAGCCGATTAATTAATAGGCTACCGGTCGATAAAGTGTTAATATAACGTTTAAGATTCTCAGTTGGGAGTTTTCTTTAATACACATGGAATTATGATGCATTTTGTAGGTTAGAGTGTATGGGCCAGGAATCGAACATGGCGTACTGGCAACGTTTCAGTCGCGCTTCATTTGCGACACGCGTGGCGCTGGTGCTGGTCAGCTCACGGTAAGAGTACGCGGTCCCAAGGGAGCGTTCAGAGTAGAGATGCAGAGAGAAACACAAAAGGATCGGATAATACTTTGTCGATACGATCCAACGGAACCGGGCGATTATAGAGTCGAAGTTCGCTGGGCAGGCGTTCTGGTACCTGGTTCTCCGTTCCCCGTTAAAATCGTCGACACGCAAGACGAATTATTAATGTTAACGCAGGTAAAATTGCGACCGTCCCCGAAGTTCGTTGAAAACGTTTATGTAAATGAAAAAATCGACGATGCGTTTGTTGATTAATTCCAGGGTGGAGACAATTACTCAACGGGACATCATACCATCGCGTCATGGCGTGGATCACAAGCTATATTGTAAGAATATTGCATATAAAGTTGTTATTTTGTACGGACTAATAATATATTTTGATAATATATAATTATATTGTAACTTATCTAAATGTTTGCAATAAAAACCGATATTTTGACAAGTTTCGTTACTTTGCAAACGACGCGCCAGGTTTTTCTTTTTCTTTTTTTCTTTTTTCTTTTTTTGTAAATATCAATTTTACATACGTAATATAACAGAGTCAACGGTTACTGTACAATAGAGGCATAATGCACTTCAGAGAGACTTGGTGTAGATGAAAGTTACACTGTATATTGAACGATATAAAAAACAATGTGCATTTTATTACCGTATTACCGTTTGTTTTTCTTTTTTTCCAGTTTACTAAGTTCCCTGAACACGTGTTTCTTCAGTTCCTTTTGCCTCTTCAGCTTCCGTGTCTCTTCCACTTTGATCCGAGCTTGATACGCCTCCATTCGTTTCTTAGTGGCTGCTTTCAGCAGTCGTTGCTTGTGAGTATAATTCGTTTTGATCATTTCCATGATCTTAGCTACTTTCTGCTCCTTTGGTTCCCTCACCACAGCCACCCTGCCGTCCTTGAACTTGGGCTTGCGATTACTTGGCATCAATTTTGGCTTGTTTCGATACGGAAGCTCTTTCTGCAAGCTCCTAGGAATGGTCAGACGACCGAACGCTTTTGGCTGTCTCTCGATGGCCGTGTACATGGAATCCATATTGGCTGGCATATGGATGTTCTTTTCTCTCTTCAGTTGGCCGGTGGTTTTCATACCTTGCCAACGATTCTTCTCTTCAGGCGGCAATAGAAGCGACGTTACGGGATTGTAGAACTTCGTGACGTCGACTTTGTACCAGGTTCGACAGAACACAATGTCGCTCAGAAGTATTTTGTCTTCAAACGTAGCACGGAAACACCCTTCCGGCTTCGAGACTGCTTTCTTTATTTGTCCACGTATACCAGACACAGTCTTTATCCTGGCGCCCTCGAATTTCGCTACCTCGAGCGTCGTGTTGAACATGTCTTTGATGAAGGCAGTCTTCTTGTATATCTTCATGGGTACACCGGTGAGCTTCAGCTTTTTAACGATTTCCGTGCTCTTCTCCATCTCGACGACGGAACCTGTCGCTGCTATTCGAAACCCTGGCGCCCTGGTGGCGACGTCCTGAACAGCCAGGACACCGGTACCCTGTGGAGTGACTGGCCCCCAGAAATGGGACATGCAAGCAACGTGCTCCGGCGTGTACTTCAGCATCCTGCTCCGTAAATTGTCTTCCAGTTTGGAGAATATCGGGAGCGTTTGGAATCGTCTCCAGCCCATGCTGAGTATCAACGGATCTCTGCTCTTCAAGATCTTGGGGTACCATCGATGTTTTTTGATTCGCGTATGAACATAACCGATATTCTCCTCGCCGTGTAATAGTCCTCCGAGAATGAGTGGATAGGTAGGGTCTAGATGAGTGATGAGCTCGCAAGGTACATCTTCTATCTCGACGCGTACGTACATGCCTGGACGATAACCTTCCAGCTGAACTCTGACGTCATCGTCCACGCCATCGAACTCTGATTTGTTCAAATTCGCCTGCCTCTCCACCTCTTGTTTCAGCTCGTCGTAGTACGTCTTGGTCTCGTTGTTGTCGTACTCCATGTTGAATTGTTCCTTTAATTTTTTCTTCTTCTCTATGAGCTTCTTCTTCTCTTCCATTTCATCCACGGTCGATTCTTTTGGCGCTTTCGCTTCGTGTTTCTCTCCAGTTTCCAAGTCCTCGAAGTCCCCGTACAGATCCTCGTCGTCCATGTCGTCCATCTTTAAAAGCGCCTCAGCGTCTTCCGATTTCTTCCATTTCCCTGTTACGAAACGATTTACTACGAGCAGCTTGTTTTCCTCGTCCAGCCAATCGCGTGGCGCCTCCGAGAAGAATATAGAATCCTCCAGATTCTGTAATTCTCGTTCTCTGATCTTTTGCTTCTCTTTTTCTTGGACCCTACGGAAGATCCCACCTATTTCGTTGTCGTTTTCCTCCTGTTTCTCATCTTTCTCTTCCACGAGGTTATTCCTATCGAATACACCGTATACAAGTTTCATTAGATTCTTGTTACTTCGCTGACGATCCTCGAAAGCATCCCTGGCTCTGTCGGCCAAATTCGACTTCCATTTTAACTCGTCCTCGGATTCATCTTTCTCTGTATCCTCGTTGTCTTCTTCCTCCTCGTCGGAAGATTCACGCGGCGAGTTAGTTTCCTCGTCCGCGTCGTCCATTTTCAATTTAGCCCGCGAATCTTCGTCGCTGAGCTCGTCGAAGCTTTCACTCTCGCTATTTGATTTTTCATTTACTTTGCTCGAACTGGAATTTAGCAAACCGAGCGCTTCTGTTATCTTGTTCTTTATCAATATATCAGACTCTTTGCTTACGGAATAATAAACCTCTGCATTTGGTGTTTCTGAAGCATTGAGATTACCCGAATTCGAAGACTTTTCTTCCACCATATCGACGTCGCTAACCTCGCAGTCTGAACTGCTTTTCTTTTGACGTTTGACATTTTCTAATTGACTGCTTTTACTTTTCCTTTTTATGCTCTTTCTATCGTGCATCTCACTTTCTTCTAATCCCTCTTTTTCATCCTCCAACATACGTTCAGCTTTTTTTTCTTTTTTATCAGTTTCCTTGGTATCCTGCTCGTTTTCGTCCTCGGATTCCTCGTCATTTTCGTGATCGCTACCATCCGATAGATCGTCGAATATCACCTTTCTTCGTACTCTGCCATCTTGGATCACCGTCTCGCCCACGTAATTACCAAAACTCTCAGTCACGTCTTGTGACTTTATCGGAGCAGCGTCGCTAAATAACTGCAACTCGCTGTGCTGCAATTTTTGATCGAGCGTTTCTTGAGTGTCCATCAAAGCTCCAACCAGACCAGTGTCGTCTTCCTTGTAAGAATGACTGCCGCCCAATTCGACGTAAACGGCGTCTTTGTCGTAAACTATTCCGCCGACCCCAGAAAATGGTGCATAAATTAGTCGTTCCTTCTCTACCAATGCACGCTTTTTTAACGCCTCTGGCAAGGGGCAGGGATCCGGCAGGAAACTGACGTCTTTGATCTTCACGTCTCCGCATCCGGGAATATGTATGGATGTTTCTTTGTTCAATGGAATTCCTCTTACGTACCTGGAAGCACAAACATTGAATCATTATTAACTATACGCAAAGCACAATACACATGCAATATTCCCCAAGCTGTGCTTACATACCCGTATAAACATACAGTTCTGTCAACTTTTGGATTTTGCCTAATCAGTTCCGCAGACGTTAAATCTTCCACTCTGTCAGCAAGAACGTAAGGATGCATGCTGCGCCAAGTCAAAGGCCTGAACTTCATCACGGATATAAACCTGCCTAGGTTTTTAGTCTCCGTGCGTAAATATTCTCCGTGAACCAATCCGGATAGATAGAATAATTTCGCTCCGGCGTACACTTCCGTCCAGAAACGATGCTTCAGAGTCTTCTTGGTACTCTTCAACTGCTTCGCGTTCTTTATTAAATCCAAGTGCGTCAGAACGCCCATGATCCTGGGCATACCGTGTACTTGACATATGTTTAAAAATTCAAAGATCTCCATCTCGAACCCGAAGGACGCGTCTATCAGCAGTAACACCAAATCTGCTACTTTTGCTATGTCTATCATACTGTTTATGTCGTTGTTGCACTCCATAAACGTAACCCTCCTCTTTTTGCTGGAGACGATGGTGACGGGGCCAACTATGTTGGTCAGTGGTTGTCTTACGTAGTTTTTAATGAGACATTGAATTACCAAGGATTTTCCTACTTTTGGGGGACCGACAACTGCGACTAAAACAGGTGGCGGTTCTAGGGGAGTCCTGTCAACAAGCGGTATATGTTGTTTCTTGGTTTCAATATCCTGTTTCCGTCTGAATCGTCTTTCTGCCTTCACCGCGGAGTGAAACGTAAACGCTTTCGGATTCTTCTGTTTGTCCGTCAGTTCTTGAACGTGTTCCTTCTTGCCTTTCTTCTTCTCCGCTTTTCGACCAGCGTTACGTTCTCTGTGAGTCTTGTGAGTGATCGTGTCCTCCGTTTCGTTTGCCATTTTGAATCTCTTTCTTAAATCTTTCCGTTCTTTCGCGTGAATATGTTACATTAATGAAACTTTTACTTCGGACCGACTGCTCCACTTTACACGCTCATCGAGGTTATGATACATTCGTGATGTATGTCACTGACAGTTTCTTGTTACAATATGCGATACAGACTAAACCGAGAACACGAAGGGAACACAAATAAGTTTATAAGTTAAATAAGTGCTACTTCGAACGTTCCACATTTTGTTATTTACGCTACACGATACCAAACGCAGTCACATGGCAATTGAAAAGCTACATGTGCTATCGATAAAGAAGAATTTTACTTTCGAACATGATATGAGGCGCTATCTAGCGGCGAAAACAACGTTTTATTTCTCGACAAACTTGAACGTTTTGCCGTAGATGGCGGTGCAGGTCTTATCGTAAAAATAGGCTTTGGACAAAGTTTATAAAGTAGACCGTTTAATTGCAGTGTCCCTAGATAATTGACAAACGTTACAGCTAGTTAAAATGCACGACCTGGAGTGACCCTTGAAGATGCACATACAGCCTAACGTCGATAGTATTTGTCGAATAGTAAACGACGTTGCAGCACGGACGTTTGTATGTTCAATATAACTTCTAAATATAGGACACGTAGTTTTATACAATTAACAGCGCTTTCACCGAAATCGTAAATATGCGCCAAGATGGTACGACAGAGTCGCATACTGTTCTTTAAACAAACGAAGTAACAATCGGTCGAAAGTGCTTCGTTTATCGAGTTTAATAACATAAACCGAATTTCCCCCGGGGATAAGAGGGTAGATTACTCGAATGAAAGCTATAACGAAGTTACAGATAATTGACGGGGCCGGCAAAGCCTCTTAGAATCACACAATACGAGACATCGATTGGAAAGTCATCGATCAAACGTGTCCCAATTCGTACAATGCTTCGTGATATTGTAAAATTTGATTCCCGTGATCGATCGTTTTTTTTTTAATGTCAAAGGTCGGACGAGGCTGGTTAACGCCACGTTGCCGTGCTAACCACCGAGCGAAAAGGTCATCGAAGTGTTGAACGGGTTAATTCGTAAATAGAAATGTATTCGGACTATGGTAACTATGCGAAAAGCCATACTTCGTTCAGCGAATCGAGGCTCCTATAAACAAAACCCACATGACTATGTCAGAAACACATTCTTGCTCGCAAGCGTGGTTCAGGAATGTATCGTGGGGTCGAAATATGAAATATTCATATCGTCGCTCGACAAAGGTATTTTCTGTTTCTTTGATATATTTTATTTATTGACTTATTCTCTACAGAACTGTAATTATTGTACGTATATAGAGCAATTTGTATAAGCTTCTGTTGAATCATCATCTGTGATCAGAGGTGCCAGCAAAATCACCGACGGTGCCCTACACACACATGCCGGATCACGCGTACGTGAGCTCGTGGAGTTACGGAAAGTCGACAAAGGCAAACTGACGCATGCGCTCTCTCTCGATTCTCGAGAGTCGAGAGAGGAAGGCTCACATTTGTCTTCTCGCTCTTGAACAACTAACATTCGACCTCACGTCGACGGCATACGATTCCAAGTCTCGACTGGCCAGGTATTTTTTACTTTCCGACCTATGTATGTAGACGAACATAAGCAAGATACTATAATGAGCAAAATTTTGTGAAATTTTTCTTACGGAAATACACGTTTTATGACCCCCTGATCATATTTGAATTATTGAACAAAAATAAATTCATTTTTATTATTCCTATATATGAGCGGACATATGTATATCATTTCAGGTATCACTTCTGATACAGCTGGCAACGTATAACCATTACTGCTGGCTACTGCCAGCCTCTCGCAGCCTCTGCTGGTTTCTGCTGGCCTCTGCTACCCTCTGCCAGCATGTGCGGGCTTCTGCGTGCCTCTGCTGGCCCCTGCTGACCACTGCTGACCACCACCGATACTTCCGACAACGTGTTACGATTATTACTGGTTACTGCCAGCCTCTCCCAGCCTCTGTTGGTCTCTCCTGACCTCCGCTTATATTTCTGACAACGTATGACGATTACAACTTGCTATTAGTTGCCCCTGCTGGTCTCTGCTTGCCACTGCTTGCTACTGCTGGCCTCCACTGGCCTCCCCTGACCTCCCCTGACCTCCGCTTATATTTCTGACAACGTATGACGATTACAACTTGCTATTAGTTGCCCCTGCTGGTCTCTGCTTGCCACTGCTTGCTACTGCTGGCCTCCACTGGCCTCCCCTGACCTCCGCTTATATTTCTGACAACATATGACGATTACAACATGCTATTAGTTGCCTCTGCTGGTCTCTGCTTGCCACTGCTTGCTACTGCTGGCCTCCCCTGACCTCCCCTGACCGCCGCTTATATTTCTGACAACGTATGACGATTACAACTTGCTATTAGTTGCCTCTGCTGGTCTCTGCTTGCCACTGCTTGCTACTGCTGGCCTCCACTGGCCTCTGCTGTCCCCTGCTGATCCCTGCTGACCACTGCTGGCCACTCCTGGTACTTCGTGCAACGTATAACGATTACGACTGGCTACTGCTAGCCTCTCCCTGCCTGTGCTGACCACTGCTGACCACCGCTTATATTTCTGACAACGCACAACGATTACTAATGACTTCTGCCAACCTTCGTTGGACTCTGCTGACCGCTGCTGACCTTTCCTGGTATTTCTGACAACGTATAACGATTACGACTGGCTACTGCTTGCCACTGTTGGACTCTGCTGTTCACGGCTAGCCTCCGCTGGCCTCTGCTGACCACCCCTGATGCTTCTGACAACGTATAACTATTACTACTTGTTACTGCTGGTCTCTGCATGCCTCTGCATCCCTCTGCATCCCTCTGCTGGCCTCTGTTGGCCCTTGCTGACCACCGCTGACCACTGCTGACCTTTGTTATCAACTTCTGACATGATGTATAAGTATTCAAGCCTTGTATAATGTAAATCTATGGCAATAAATGATATAATTTAACAGAATTCTATATGTTCTCATCATTTTTACCTTTCTTTTCCTCTCCAAATCATTGCCTTAGCTTTAAGAGACCGTTTCTCCGGTTAAAATTGGATTCCCAAAGTGTCCAGCTCTCGTACTTGCTGCCAAAATAAAGAATTAACTTTAACAAAAAGTCCTGAAACAACTCGGAAGTCCTGAAACAATTGAAATGTCCTGAAACAGCTGGAAAGTCCTGAAACGACTAAAAAGTCCTGAAACAACTAAAAAGCCCTGAAACAACTCGGAAGTTCTGAAACAATTGAAAAGTCCTGAAACAGCTGGAAAGTCCTGAAACAACTAAAAAGTCCTGAAACAACTAAAACCCCCTGAAACAATTGGAAAGACCTGAAACAGCTGGAAAGCCCTGAAACAACTAAATAGTCCTGGAACAATTGGAAAGTCCTGAAACAGCTGGAAAGACCTGAAACAGCTGGGGAGTCCTGGAATTTCTTGGAAACGCCGAAAATTCTTGGAAACCTTGAATTTTTAGCAGAGTTCTGAGTTTCAGGACTTCCTAGTGGGTTCAGGGAGACCAAGGAGTTTCAGGGAGTCTTATAACTAAGGTAATGATTTGGAGAGGAAGAGAAAGGTAAAAAATGATGAGAACACATAGAATTCTTTGTAATTATATCATTTATTGCCATAGATTTACATTATACAATGTTTTAATACATATATATCATGGCAGAAGTTGTTAACAAGGGTCAGCAGTGGTCAGCAGTGGTCAGCAGGGGTCTGCAGGGGAAAGTAGAGGCCAGCATAGGCCAGCAGAGGTCAGCAGAGGCCAGCAGGGGGATGCAGAGGCATGCAGAGACGAGCAGGGGCAAGCAGCGGCCAGCAGTGGTCAGCAGGGGACAGCAGAGGCCAGCAGGGGACAGTAGAGGCAAGCAGTGGCAAGTTGTAATCGTTATACGTTGTCGGAAGCATCAGGGGTGGTCAGCAGTGGTCAGCAAGGGCCAGCAGAGGCAGGCAGAAGCCCGCACATGTTGGCAGAGGTTAGCAGAGGCCAGCAGGAGGATGCAGGGGCATGCAGAGACCAGCAGAGGCAAGCAGTAACAAGTAGTAATTGTTATACGTTGTCGGATGCATCGGGAGTGGTCATTAGTGGTCATCAGAGGCCAGTGGAGGCCAGCAGTGACATGCAGAAGTTGTGAACAAGGGTCAGCAGTGGTCAGCAGTGGTCAGTAGGGGGCAGCAGAGACTTGCAGAGGCAAGCAGAGACCAGCAGGGGCAAGCAGTAACATGTAGTAATCGTCACACGTTGTCGGAAGTATCGGTGGTGGTCAGCAGTGGTCAGCAGGGGCCAGCAGAGGCAGGCAGAAGCCCGCACATGCTGGCAGAGGTTAGCAGAGGGCAGCAGAAGCCAGCAGAGGCTGCGAGAGGCTGGCAGTAGCCAGCAGTAATGGTTATACGTTGCCAGCTGTATCAGAAGTGATATCTGAAATGATATACATATGTCCGCTCATATATAGGAATAATAAAAATGAATTTATTTTTGTTCAATAATTCAAATATGATCGGGGGGTCATAAAACGTGTATTTCCGTAAGGAAAATTTCACAAAGTTTTGTTCATTATAGTATCTTGCTTATGTTCGTCTACATACACAGGTCGGAAAGTAAAAAATACCTGGCCAGTCGAGACTTGGAATCGTATGCCGTCGACGTGAGGTCGAATGTTAGTTGTTCAAGAGCGAGAAGGCAAATGAGCCTTCCTCTCTCGACTCCCACGAGACTCGCGCGATCCCTCTGGCGGCGAGCATTGAGAAGCCACAAGCGAAACGAGCAATAATGAACTACGTTTTGGCGGACTCCCCCGAATCGTTCTGGCAAACCGCTTCCGTCTCTGTTCCGGTCCGCGGAGTCGACTTTGACAGCTGTCACCTTTTAAAATCACGCCTAAAAAAATTGCCTAATATATGGTCACGGGTTCTCCGCGACAGTTCGTGCATGGCACTTGTCCTCGATTGAACCGCCGCGGACCGCGGCGAATCGCCACGACGACTGGGGTGATTTTTAAATGGGAACGTAATTTTGGGGTGCGGGCAATTCCCATCCCGACTTTACAGACGTGTATATTCATTTAAATCCCAGTCTCTTTTTCCACGATCGGTCTCGCACGACCGCGTTCCCGCGAGTACACGGGTTTTTTTTACTCGTGCAGAAACGGGAACAGTTTTCGGTGGGAACGCCGTGGATAACCTATGTCCGCATCTAGGTCGGTCAATAAGTCATTTATTTCGCGCTGAGGGGTGATTAAATGA